TTTAATTTCAAAATTTGCAATTGCATATTCATCCGGTAATTATTCTAATGGATACGCTAAGCATTTCAAACTAATCTTGACCTGGGAGAAGAGCTGACCAGTGACAAGTCGGCCGCAAAGCGGCCGAAAAATATATAGCCTTTTTTTCTTCCCAAAATGGATTCCTAGTCATATTTAAAATTTATTCCACTGGGGCGTGAGCACAACCAATTTTCGCCTATATGAGGGCAGCCCCCAGCCTGCCATCTGTCCCCAACCCTTCCTCGCCACCATTCCTGCCCCTCCTAGTCCTAGAGCTGGGCCCTCTGCCGCAGCCCCCCGTAGTCCTACAGCTGGGCCCTCTGTCGCCTCTGCCGCCCTTAGTCCTACAGCTGGGCTTTCTTCCGCCACCCTCCCTAGTCCTCCAACAGCAGCAGCTGTTCCTGATTTTACTCCTGTTGCCAACCATGCTGGCCCCTCTGGTTTGATACCTGATCAGATAGTTATCACCGTCGGTAAACACAGAGGTAACAAGGGTAAACACAGAGCCTCCAGGATACACCCAGCAAACAGTATGAATTATTCCTTATTACCTATTAGAAGTTTCATGTTCATTGACATCAATACTATATTCATCAAAGTTTTTGATACAAAGTGGTATAATGATTACCCTTTGAAAATGTGATTAATTTCATTTTCAGTGGATGACGGAAGTGATGAAGGAGTTAAACTCCTTAAGACAGGAAGTAACTGTCTTAAAGAAGAATCAGCAACCCCGGACTCCTTCAGCAGCTTAAAACTGAAGGGAAAGTGGGTCTCGAGATGGACCTAGCTAGCCTCCTAAGAACAATCACTATACCAACTGTTCTTTCCTCGCTGAGCTGCTCAAGTAGTGTAATATTTCTCTTTGCTAGTCTCAGCAGTGAGTGTGAGTGTGTGCTGTGCCTTGTGGGTATTTTGGTAAGCTATTGACTAATATATCATTCTAGTTATCATTATCATTGTCTAAATTTGACTAATATAGAGACTTTTCACTAGTTATCATTATCATAGATTGTGTAGTTACTGTCTCAGTTACTTATATATTTCCTCTCGATAACACCAGGTATCACTTTCCTCGCTGCTCAAATAGAAGCACAGACACCAAAGTTAGGTCTCTCTTACACGGAGAAAGTACAGCCTTTTAGGCAAGGGTGGCCAGCACCTGCGACCCTCAATTTCCAAATTGCCAGGTATTATACAATAACTACCACAGAATCTTCTCCTGTTCACTGCACAGCTGGTCCTACAGAGAAACCCTACAAGAACACTCCACTAGTGACCAACCATGCTGGATGCTGATCTATCTTACAGCTAGAACAGTTACAAGCTGAATAAATCCCTGCTATTGAGAGAACTCCCCTTCTCCAACGAAGACTACAGCTACAGCTCAACAAACGGGGAAATTATCGAACCAACGCAAACAGTCAGAGACCTTGGAGTACTCCTCTCAAATGACTGCTCGTGGACGCCCCATATCCATCAGATGCTGAAAACTGCTAAGAAAATGGCATCGTGGGTCTTCAGTGTCTTCAGTGACAGATCACCTTTCCTGATGCTCACCCTTTTCAAAACAATGGTGAGGAGCAGGCTAGAATACTGTTGCCCGGTCTGGAACCCCAGCAAAATCACAGATATAGAAGCAATCGAAAATGTTCAGAGGAACTACACTCGCCGTATCTTAGGTTGTCAGCAATTGGACTATTGGGACCGTCTTAAGAAGCTGGACCTGCTCTCCCTGCAGAGGCGGAGAGAGCGATACATCCTGATCCATACATGGAAGATGGCAAACGACCTTGCTCCAAATGACATCAACATGGTATTCAAGGAAAACGCTCGACATGGCATAAAAGCCATAGTCCCACCACTGAACAACAAATCGCAACGATCAGTGGCCACTCATTACGAGAATTCCTTTGGAGTGAATGCAGCGAGACTATGGAACCTCCTCCCACGACAAGTGAACAGTTTAACTGCCCTAGGACCCTTCAAGGTATCACTTGCTCGATTTTTGGAGACGTTTCCCGATACCCCGCCAACCAAAGGATACACCGCCATCACCAACAACTCACTCCTGGAATGGAATCTACAGAAAGATCTGAACCAGGAATGAATGGAGGACGTACTAGTTACTGTTGTCCAGAAGCAATCCCTGCCAAACCAACCTAAAGTACCTAAAGTAAGTAGAACAGTTAAATTCACCGAGTTTTTATTTGTAAGGCTCCCGGCTCCCGTTATTCGGGACCCAGAGCTTTTTAACACCTATTTCCATCAGTTATATAACAAACTTGAACAAACTCTAATACACTGATCCTCAATTTTTAAATTAAAAACAAGTTTGGCGACATATCAGTATGAGGCGAAGGCACGTTCAGATTAGAAAGATGTGAAACCCTGAAATATAAGAAGTACGTCTTGTTAGGACGCCACTATTATTGTTAGTGAGTTTATCAGCCTACCCTGTTTCCTGTTACTACGTTTAGTAGAAGAACAAGAACTCCACCATTCTCATGGGAACCTCCAAGACTAGAATGTTCAGGTTTGGCGCAAACAAGAACAACAGCAATGCTGCCAGACGACCATACATACAGTGATATTAGAAATGTATATAACAAGTGCTCATCGTTAAAACGTAATAATATGGTAATAGCATACTGACCAACAGAGAAAAATTTAGAGGGGCATGGAGGGGCACCCCCTCAAAGGAGGGGCATGGCATGTTCGTCAGTATGGGTAATATGAAAATTTGAATGTAGGTACTATGTATTCATTGTGGGTACTATGTGTTATGTTTTAATCATTTCAATTCAGAACGGGTAGGTCAGACTCTAGACGAAATGGAGAAAGATGGACGATTAGTCAAAGTTGATCGTGTTATTATTGTTAGATGACACAGGGGTGTAGGAAGCGGGGGGGCAGGGGGGGCCATCGCCCCCTCATGAAATCTGGACAAAGGGCCAAAAAAGGCCAACTTTTTAATTTAGGTTTCTAAAAATTTTTTTCCCGAAAATTTTCTAAGTTACAAATTTTGAAAGTCAAAAATTTTCAAAGTTTTCTTGGAAACTACTTTTGTTCATGTTTCATGCTACCCTGATCATTATGTGCCAAAAATATTTTTTTTCGGTTTTCGAAGTTCGATATATAATTTTGGACTCCAGGGTTCACCTTTGTAATGCGATCCCGGAAGGCAGGCCTCCCCTTCGCAATACGAGCTCGGAAGCTGGAGCTCTGCTTTCAGAGGTACGTATCGAGAATGACTCGGACCGAAAATTTTCTAAGTCAAAATTTTTCAAAGTTTTTCTGGAAATTACTTTTGTTCATGTTTCATGCTACCCTGATCATTCTGAGCCGAAAATATTTTTTTCGGTTTTCGAAGTCCGCACCTACCCTTCGATATACGATTTTGGACTCGAGGGTTCCCCTTTGTAATGCGATCTCGGAAGGCAGCCCCCCCCCCCCCCCCCCCCCCCCTTCGCAATTCGAGCTCGAAAGCGGGAGCTCTGCTTTCAGAGGTACGTATCGAGAATGACTCGGACCGAAAATTTTCCAAGTCAAAATTTTTCAAAGTTTTTCTGGAAATTACTTTTGTTTATGTTTCATGCTATTTGTAAACCTTGCTACCCTGATCATTCTGAGCCGAAAATATTTTTTTCGGTTTTCGAAGTTCGATATACGATTTTGATCTCGAGGGTTCCCCTTTGTAATGCGATCTCGGAAGGCAGGCCTCCCCTTCGCAATACGAGCTCGAAAGCGGGAGCTCTGCTTTCAGAGGTACGTATCGAGAATGACTCGGACCGACAAATTTTCTAAGTTACAAATTTTGAAAGTCAAAATTTTTCAAAGTTTTTCTGGAAACTACTTTTATTCATGTTTCATGCTACCCTGATCATTCTGAGCCGAAAATATTTTTTCCGTTTTCGAAGTCCGCACCTACCCTTTGGTATACGATTTTGGACTCCAGGGTTCACCTTTGTAATGCGATCTCGGAAGGCAGGCCTCCCCTTCGTAATACGAGCTCGAAAGCGGGAGCTCTGCTTTCAGAGGTACGTATCGAGAATGACTCGGACCGAAAATTTTCCAAGTCAAAATTTTTCAAAGTTTTTTGGAAATTACTTTTGTTCATGTTTCATGCTACCCTGATCATTCTGAGCCGAAAATATATTTTTCGGTTTTTTTGAAGTCCGTACCTACATTCGGAAGGTTGTTGATGTGCTACTGATTGGTTTCATATACTAATGATAGAAAACGTGATATTTGGCCCACAGATTTGGAGGAAAATACGCGAATTTGGTCCTCAGATTTGAAGGAAAATGCGCAATTTGACGCGGAGAACTGAAAAAATCGCGATTTGTCGTGAGGCCAGGATCTGAAAAATCGCAATACCGCACATGCTGCAATTTTCTTTTGTCCTTACCCTCGAAATCCAGGCTTTGGCGCGAAGCGCCGAAAAATTTAGGCTGTGGCGCGAAGCGCCAAAAAATTTTTAGAATTTGGCCCCCCCATGAAGAAAATCATTCCTACACCCCTGAGATGACATATTTTAGCCATTTCTGTATTTGCTTGACCAATATCTCTAATATCCACCAAAATTGACCAATATCCACCAATATTAACTTTTATGGGCCATCAACCTATAAAGATGAGACTAAATACGATTTATCAAATGATGGAGTAGTTCGCTGTTTATTAGTCTCATGATTGAAATACTGATAGTTGGATAATATCCGGTTGAGGATATTAGTAGTATGTCATAGGACAGAATTTAAAACGTGTGGACTTCACCATTTTATGTAATACCAGTATTCAGTGTGTGTGATTTGATTCGACATTTTAACTAGTTTTAAAGTAGAACCATTTATAATTTAATACTAATGTTTATACCAATTTTAGCCTGAAGATGGCGTTGACGCCGAAAATTTGCCTTCATTCCTAACTTCCTTGTTTCACTTGTCCTTGTCTCTCAACCAGATATTATCCAACTATCAGTATATAAATACGATTTGGTACATACCAGGGCCGGGCTTGTTCCTTTTCCTTCTCTTAGAACACTTCAGCTCTTCCTTCACCTCCTCCAATTCTCGCTTGTAGCTCTTCATCTCTTCCTTCACCTCCTCCAATTCTCGCTTGTAGCACTTAGTCTTCTCCTTCACCTTCTCCAAATCCTGCTTGTACGGTGCAAGGGCATCCTCCATTACTCTCTTCATTAACTCATAGTTGTGGAGCGGGTCGATAACTTGGGAGAAAGGTGTCGTGGGGGTGCTTGTCATGGGAGACCAATGAGTCCTGAAGAGATTCAGATAAATAATGATAAAAATTTAGACGTAATTATAAATTGCATGGATATCAATTTTATCTAAAACATACTTCCAAGATATTGATTGTGCTTAACTAATGTACCATACCGAACTTTATATGTACCTTGATATGCTAGTCGCAGGGGAGGGACTTAAAGGCTCGATGGTTGGGGACCTGAAACAATTATATAAGGAAATAAAGATAAAGCATCATCTTATTTCATGTTTAATGGACATAGTTAGTTATGTCTAGCGTGTTGTTTAAAGAGTAAATTCGTGTTGTTTAAAGAGTAAATTACTCCTAAGAATCATAATGAAATTTGTTCAGATTTGTTTTCGGGAATAATTTAAAGTAGTAAAATGTGCATGCAGCCATGATTATTTCCCACAATATGTAATATAGATTGATAGTTAATAACGAAGTAAGATTCTCCACTCGCAAAATTCGTCACCAACTATTTAACTTTATGATCTACGTCATAAGAGTGAAGAAAGATTACAAATATACAATAACAATAGAAGAGTCGATTATATGGAATAAAATATAGGGATAGACGTAGTATTATGCTGTTCATGTTAAGAACACATACCTGGGTTCATGTTCCACTGTAGCAGGAATGAGTTGGCTGAAAATAAAATGTCAGTCCAGGTAAGGGGCAAAATTTTCTATTTCGAATCTATTTCGAAACTTTCAAGTTCTAAAACATTTTCTGACATAATAGTGATATAATGAAATAGTAGAGCTTCTGTCAGCTGATATGAAAAAGATACGTGAATATAATTATGAAACACCAAAACCTATTATATAGACTTATTCTACAGTCTCATTCCCCACCTCATAATATGGAATGTTATCTAGTCTCTATGCTACAAAATACAATTTTCTTTAAGAAAATATACCTTGGTTCCTGAGCTCTAGGGAGGTCCTGTTCCACTGCAGCAGGAAGAAGTTCACTGAAAATAAAATTCTAGTTCAAGTTAAGTTCTAAATTTATGGGAGCGTCTTTTAATTATAATATCCTCAGAGAAAAGATATCATTGATAGTAGCGAAAAGAGAATATTGATAGTAGAGCTGTCAGCTTATATGCAAAAATTAAAACAACAGAATTTTAGATAAACGAATTTTAAATCAACCCCGCCTCTTGTTTAATACCCACTATCTTATAACTTACATTGACTCCTGTACCGATTGCAATATTTCCTCAGGGAGAATACTGAAATAAAATTTCATTTTAAGCGTTTAGTTTGGCCTTTCGTGGATAAAAAAATATAAGCATTTGAAAGTAAATAAGGATCGATCGGGACTACTCTTTTCGTACCTTGATAAAGAGCCATACATAGATAAGGCTCTTTTCCCAGACTCTTCCTTATTTTTCTTCGATTTTCTTGGGGCAAGTCTCTTTTTTACGTTTGTGCTGCAATAAATTTTGAAGTTTATGGTCACATAATCACTTATCGAAAACAATAATCCAGGCTTATAAATTTGTGATGATGGATACGGCATTGTTCTGCAAGCAATCAGAGAAATTCAATATATCCTATTAAAAATGGTATGTATAAATGTCTCTGCTGTTATTTTTAAATTTCCTTGAACCTAAAGTATCCAATTATATACATATTAATTTCAAGTATAAATTTTATCTCAACACTTATTTTACTTCGGACATTCCAACAGCCACATTGTTACACAAGTGTGTAACCAGCCAATTACAGGAAGCCGAAGGATTCAATTATACATTAGGCCAGTGACGGTTAAGGTAGCGTGTACCATACTTTCTGCAATGGGCAGCTCCTCATTTAACTCTCACACCCGATTTCTCGAGTATTTGGCCGAGTGGACCAGGGGGCTGCATAGACCACTCAGGATGCTTAGCTGAGCGTCGATGACGCTCACCCCATGGCTAGTGACAGAGTCGGGAATCGAACCTGGTACCTCAAGCAATACCAGGCGGATTAACCAACTGAGCCACTAAGCCGTTAAATAGAGAAACACATACTTCCTTATCTTCAACCTGCTCTGGTCATCGATCAGTTCATCCTCGACCTGTTTCTTTTGTTTCTGGTCTGAAATGTTACAAAATGAATTGCACATACGGTTACAATTCGAAGATCTCCATGATCAAGTGATCCCATCGCACCAAAACTACAGTGTTGTCTAGTATCTTTATATTTTCAAAATTGTTCTCCAGATTATAGATCAATAAGTGTTATCCTGATTAGAGACCAACAAGTGATACGATAATGTAATGCAAATTTTCAAATATAATAGTTTTACAATAGTTAAATAGTTTATACTTTTGTGTTTCAATTATGATAGTGAAGTCTTGGCCGTAGCACGTTAGGCACGGGTTACACTTAAAATGCTTACCAGTTATGAGCTGCATTATTTCCACAGGACAGGTCTCTGCCTTCTTTTCCCCCACTCTTCCCCACTGTTTCGTAAGTCACGAAGCATGTGTCCCCTTTGGCTACACTGGAGCAGACGGCTCTCTCATTTGATTCAGTGTACTGAAAAATTGAAATTTAAGTCCATCTAGTATTGAAATTGAATCCCATCGATTGTAGCAGTTATAATTGAAATGTTACAATATGATATTATTATTCTTACTAATCTGTCGACAGGGAGAATCTCTGCGGGTTCTTGGGGCAGATCTTTGAATCTGATTAAAGCCCATTTCGGTCTGATGGTATCATCCAATTTAACGGCTCTTCTTCTTTTTCTTGAGCTAAGACTTCTTTCTGGCAAGGCTAAACATGGCATAACATATAAATTTATTTGTTTATCATTAGAATCAGGTTAAATATTAGTAATGAATAAAAGCTTGATAGTAGTAAAAAACAGGTTACTGTTGTTTTCAGTACAATCAATCAATATCAATACAAATTATTGGGGGAGGGGGGGTGGGGGGTGGGCGACCATATATATATATGTTTTTTTTTCTTGATTTTGACCCGGGATATACTTTAATATACTTTAATCTACTTTGATATACTTTAATATACTTTAATTGATTGAAATAAATTTTCGTGCACATACAGAATGAATGGTTAATAATTTAATATATATGTAGACCAAGGTCTGTGCACGGGATGCTTCCTGGAAGAATCCAGTTCTTTTAGCGGGGCACCCTACCTAAAGCCAAATTGAGATATAATAATCATATTCCTAGAGAAATAATCAGAAATCGAATACCAATCAAACAATATGATATATAGGAGTAGTAACCATATTTACTATGCAAAATGCCCCAACCACATAGTGTAAATTTATATAGAATTCAAATTCCATATCATCATTAAACCTCAATAGTCAATATAATAATAGCCCAAGCAAAATTAAATAACTTCTTATATACCTTACTGTCATACTACAAATTAATTAAACATTTGAAATCTGTTAACCAGAGAATAAATTTCTAAACCTAATGCAAGTGAAATAATTTAGATGCAATAATGAATGCCTAATGTGAGTATCATCTGTCAATGTCCTTGTAAAAAAGTCTGTAAAAGAGATATGAGTAACTAATATAGAAGAAAAAACAGGAAGTTGTCGTCTGTTGAAAAATAAATAAAATATCTAGAATATAAATTAGAATATAAAATAACATTCAGTCAATGTGTCGTCAATAAACTGTACAATTATCAAATGTTAAAACTGGGTGATACAGTCACCAAAAATAAATACTAAGTATAATAAGTAAATAAATTAAATGTGGTCTATAAAACTACCACTAGGTATTATAATAGGTCAATAAATTAAAAGTGGTTTATAAAACTACCACTGTGCGAACCCTTTCTCCGGTTAAGGGGGGGGGGGCCAATGGATATTTTTTTGTGAAACTTGATTTCGAGATAGCAGTTGACCAACAAACTAGGACCAGTGACCGAACTTTTGAGGGGGTCCCGGACCCTAACCGCCAAACGGTGCCTGCGGGGCAGCCACGCCCATATTTGGTCCAAATTAGGCCCAATTTAGCCAAATACCCTGAACATGCCCAAAACCCAAATTTTAGGTGCTCTACTTGTAGCTAGTGGTCTCCTGAACTCGTATATGAAATTTCATCAAGATTGGACAAAAAATGACTGAGTTATGAGCCAAAAACCATATGCCCATATTTGGGCATACGCACCAAATTTGGTAGATTTCGTCCCATAAATTGGTCAAATATCAATATTTTTCACTGAAACTTACTTTATATGAAAGGTAAGCCTAAACTACATATTCTCTGTAAGTTATAGCTTTATATCTGTTTAAATGTGGATACTAAGGCGAAAAGACCACAAAAAATGAACTAAATTGCCCATATCTTGGTTCGCGATATTCGCGGAATTGATCTCATTAAAATTGTAACAACTCGATCAGTTTTCAAAATTTTTCCATGAAAATTTCGGAATCGACTCGAAATCGCATTTCCACCTTAGTTTGAGAACAGATTTTTGATTTAGGCCTCCAAAAAATTTTGGCGGCCAAATTCCAAAATTTTCCCGGAGAAATTCAGAATTTGGCCGCCAAATTTTTTTTGAGGCCTTAATCAAAAATCTGTTCTCAAACTAAGGTGGAAATGCGATTTCGAGTCGATTCCGAAAATTTCATGGAAAAATTTTGAAAACTGATTGAGTTGTTACAATTTTAATGAGATCAATTCCGCGAATATCGCGAACCAAGATATGGGCAATTTAGTTCATTTTTTGTGGTCTTTTCGCCTTAGTATCCACATTTAAACAGATATAAAGCTATAACTTACAGAGAATATGTAGTTTAGGCTTACCTTTCATATAAAGTAAGTTTCAGTGAAAAATATTGATATTTGACCAATTTATGGGACGAAATCTACCAAATTTGGTGCGTATGCCCAAATATGGGCATATGGTTTTTGGCTCATAACTCAGTCATTTTTTGTCCAATCTTGATGAAATTTCATATACGACTTCAAGAGACCACTAGCTACAAGTAGAGCACCTAAAATTTGGGTTTTGGGCATGTTCAGAGTATTTGGCTAAATTGGGCCTAATTTGGACCAAATATGGGCGTGGCTGCCCTGCGGGCACCGTTTGGCGGTTGGGGTCCGGGACCCCCTCAAAAGTTCGGTCACTGGTCTTAGTTTGTTGGTCAACTGCTATCTCGAAATCAAGTTTCACAAAAAATATCCATTGGCCCCCCCCCTTAAAACATGTCAGTCATGTGCAAAATCAATCAAAATGGTAAGGTGGTAAAAAAGGGAAAATCCTTTCGATACATCAATTATATATGCCTCAGATTTAAAAGAATTAGAAGATACTTAGTTATCGTCGACTATGATTGCAGTGTAAAATTTGTCATATGAATTGTCGACGGTATAATTAGGGTCTGTTGTTATAGATGAGAGTAGCTGTTTCTTATACGAATCACTAAAGCTTTTAACATCGGGCAGATTTCGTAGATCTGTTGGAACATTATTCCAACATTTTGCCCCCAAGTATTGAAAGTTTTTATGTGATGTTGATCTATTAACATATAGGTTGCAGCTTTCGCCGCTCCTACTAATAATAATTAATTAATATACCTACAATATACTTTAATATATCCCTATCTCCTTGGATGCCTACATCAAAAATTGTTGCCCAAAATAAGCTTGAAATGCAATTCTTAATCGATTCCAAAAAGTTCTTGAAAAAATATTGAAAACTGATGGAGTTATTTCAATTTTAATGAAGTCATTTCGGCTAGAATTCCGAACCGAGATATTATGTGCAATTTTCCCAATTTTGTTCATGGAGGTCTTTTTACTTAGTATCCACTATATTCAACAAACACTGAGTTATATCTTTCACATAGAGTTAGTCTCATTAAAAAATATTGAAATTTTATCGAATTTGGGCAAAAGCGAATTTGGGCAAAAGCGTATGCCCAAATATGGGCATATTTTTTAAAGCTCATAGCTCAGCCAATTTTTGACCAATCTGGATGGAAATTCATGTACTAGTCCTAAAACAGGCTTATCTTGCGAATCTGAGTGAAAAATATAGTTCATCATGTAAATCTTAACGAAGAATATAAATCTTCTAATTGTAGGTATATTAAAGTATATTAAAATGTAGGATTTTTTCCGATTTTGACCCGGGGATATACTTTAATATACTTTAATATGGTTGCCCCCCCCCCCCCCCCCCCCCCCCCTAAGGTTATATAAACTGTAAAGTGTAAAGCACCAACTTCAAACTCCATGTTCAATTAAATTAATTTAAGTAACCGACAGAAAGCAATTTTAAGTTTAGTTAGAATTATTTAACATCATGATAGTATGAATGAAACATACTCTTTCAAAATCTTTATCTCAGAGCGCTTTTAAATAAATTTTCTTATATATCTAAAATGTATAACTAAATTCAAACGAATAACAAACAATTTGCTTCCCTGTAAAAATTCCAGGTAAAAGCAAATGTGAGACGTTGAAGCATAATTTGGTGAACGACAAGAAACACCGCAATGTAAATGCTAATGGAATGATTTACTCAAAAGAAAATATTTATACATGCCTGGTTCATGATAACCTGCAATTGCAAAAGCGTTGTGATATCTTTACAATCCCTGTACCGACTACGCCGCTAGGGTATGAATTAAAAACACACTAAATCAGCTTGATAAATTTGTAACATTAATGGATTAAAGTTGAAAATAATTGGAATAAACTAGTATTTGAAGGAAAAAGTTGAATTGCACAGCTGCGTCATCATTCTGACGCAATTTTGGGCAGAACTTTAAACGCGGGATTATCGAGCGGGAAAATATTTCAGAACCACGTCGATTTTTAATTTGATGTGAGAAAGGTACAGCCACTTTCGCGCAGAACTCACATACTAGTTACCAGTTGCGCGCAGAGCTCTGACGAGCTCGAAAGTGGCGCGCAAAGCTCGTGACGAGCTTTGCGCGGCCTCGCCACAAGCTGGAGCGAGCTCGAAACAGCTCGTGACGAGCTCGAAATATTTAAAGGGTCTGAGCAGTAAATATTGAGCTTATACGTTGCTTAGCTGCCGGTGCCCCATGCTACCCCATACAGATATACAGTAGGAAAGATGTGATTCGAACAGGGTTGAGGGTATAATTATTTAAAAAAAGTAAAATACAATTTTTATTTTCCACAGAAGAATCAATACATATTGAATTATAAATATCCGATAATTTCATTAATAAACATTAAAAGTTGCTTTATAAAATCGAAAACGAAAAGCCGTGCGCTGAACGTGCGTGGCATTTTGTCGGCAGCTGCCTAGCTTGTAGCCGCTAACATCAAAGCCGCCGCGCGCGCCAAGTGCTGGGGTGCATTCTCATTGATAATTTAACTTGGTCAAAGATAATTATATACAATTCCTAAATGAAATCAATATAATCATGTAGATATGAATGTTCAACATTACTCGACAACAAATATTTGTCGGCCCATCGACGATTCAGTTGCTGGTTGCCGAAACAAAAATTATACAGCTCTTTAGGTATAAATCTTCTCATACGGCAGAGTTTACCGACTTCACACTTTAATATTTAGAACTAAGATGTAAGATATGCAGTATGAGGTTTCCAGTTAAGGTTTTTATCTATTATAACGCTGAGGAATTTAGTTTCATCAACACGTTTAATGACTGTGTGACATTGTTTGGACTGATTATGAATCCGGTATGTTCAGAAATGAGCAGATCTGGTCTTAATCGCAATAGATGTAGCAAGAGTGTAACTAAGATAGAGCAAACTCCCTTTTGAGGTCAAGAATTCAGAAAGTGCCTTGAGTTTTTAAGCTGGAGCAGTAGATAAAATGAATTGTTAATTCATTAAACAGTGATAAATATTTTTTGGGAAGTTGCTAGAGAAGTTAGAATTGAAGGAAGCAATTACATTGAAAATAAAAAGGAACATAATTTATAACGATATGATTATCTTTGGCTTCATCGTTATGTGACAAAAAACGCTCTATAAATCTTCATATCACTGGGAAGTATGAATAGGTTTTAAAAATACAGTGGTCAATGTATTTGATAATAATTAATAAAATTGTTTTTGGTAAATTACTAGCGTTTTCATATAGTATATGATGATCCTCTGTAGACATGTGTGATTGGTGATGTCATAATTATCAACGAGAAACCTTTTTTTGTTTAAAAAACATTTCCTGGGAATCAATCTTACTCAGAAATCATTAATCGAATCTCCAGATTTTTTTTCTTTATATCAGTCAGCATGAGTCCCCATCTGTGAGTTGATCTGACAAACAAACTACCCTCTGGCTGGGAAAGCTGTCTACAGATCAAGACATCACTAGGAATTGCATATCCATTTACACAGACATCACATCTCTTTTGTCCTTTAACAATTAACTTACTGACTAATTTCCTGAAAATTATAGAGTTCAAGATAGATTCTGAGAAAAGACATTTTTTTTGAGAAAAGACAATTTTATTATTTATCACCAATTCAATACATAATCAATAAATATATATCCGAATAAATTTGATTTAAAATTAAATGATACAAGTATGCTAGCAGCTAGCGCGCTTGTATTTGATCAATATACACGCTGTCAAAATGGGTCTTACCACACCGCCACTCACATTAGCACAGTTGGTGAACGGACCCAGGCGCTGTTAAGCTTTTGTGAGCCCTGCACTGGTTGACTGCTGAGAGTGGCAACGGATCTGACATTAATTTTATCTTAGTTTTCCCTATATTCCAGTAAAATTTTAGTTTTGAGTTATATGATTTTTATGCGATATTTAAGTTACAGCTGCTCGCAATACATTATTGCTTAAAAATTGTTAAATATGCTCGCTATACACTTAATTTTTAGATACCGTATTTATATGTACATGTCAGCTCATAATACCAAATAACAATAATGAATTAAATAAAAGCATGAAGGGGTCCAAAACCGATTCAAGCATGACACCAGGTTGAACACATTGTCACTGGAAGCTGCAAGCTTATCAACGTTTGATTCCACGTTGATCCGTTATTATGCAGTCACCTTCAGGCGGTGTCGACGGATCATGCGAAAAGGGTTTTTGACAGGCTGTGCCCTTACCATAATTAAACTGAACCATTACCTGATACGTTGTAAACGGTAGTGAAGTGAACGGTACACATGCGTGTAACCTGCTTTAATGGTTTGTGTACATGTGTGGTGGAGTGAGTGTATAATGTAATGATTGAATGAATCTTTTTCTTTTGTGGTGTATATTATATGATGTGAGTGACAGGTGTAAAATGAAAAAGATATAAATATAAATGGGGGTCTTTTCATAGGAAAGTGTTCTGTGGAGAATATTGAACTGGTTTGTCACTAAAGTTGATTATTTATAGAGTGGCACTGTACTGAGTGGTCATCTCTAAATTGCAAAATAGACATAAGGCCACGTTTTGCACTTCTGTATTCTCCTTCGGTAAATTTCTAGGCCAATGCCAGATCCTGACAACAAGTTTCAGTGGAACCAAGCTTTAAACATGTTGCTCAAATCGAAATCTCAAAAGGATGCCCATTAATCAACCAACCAATCATTTGTAAGAGCACATTATTGTTATTTTCAATTATTTTGATATAAAAACGACGAGAAGTTTATGTTTCATTTTGTCATCATAGCTATTATATATACTAACTTATGGATCTGATTTGTTATTTGACCCATTGAGTTATTTGTTCTTGGTTGGACTGAACAAAAATCAAATCAATAAATCTACATTCAACATCAATGTTTTGTATGTCTAGGGAGTAGCTAAGGATCCATTGGATCTATGCGATCTCCTCGGTCGACTCAGCTGAATGACATGAAATTTAATTGAGGGTTAAATGAGGAGAGGTACCTGTTAAAAGTTCAAGAAACTTCCTAGGATACCCCTTCAGTGCATACTGTAAACATAGTACTATTAACTATTAACTATTTAATATTATTTATGTTCTGTATCATGACGGCCCCAACGTTAATGTGGCTCTTGCTATGTGTTGGTTCAGCCGAATTAATTATTATGTAATCAAGTTTATTTTTCTCTTGTAGTTAGTTGTCATCCGGCCAAACATTAAGCAACTTATATTGCAGTTCCATTTATCAATTAGTATATCAAAATATGTCATTGTAATTTTGCATGGCTGAAATGTAACGCTTGATTTATATATATAATAATTAATTGAATTTTCAAATAAAAAAATGTATGGTTTCTGATGATTAAGATTCCCCAATTAAGTGTTTTCAATTTCATCTATTGTATTTTGTAAGTAAAGCTGATCTTGCTGAATCCACCACCAGCTGAAGACTAACATTGTTGTATCAATTATTATCAATATTCATTACCTCCCCCGAATTACTGTAACCCAACCCCCTACTGCATAGTTACTTCTACTGCATAGCTTTGAGAGACTTATTTGGTATTGGTTTTGTACATTATGAAAAAACGGAAACTAAATCCAACGTCTTTATAACACAATTCGGTATGTGATTGTATTTGAGTTAATAAACTATGATGATTATATATGAATTTTACTTGATATAGTGCTTATCTTAAAATTAAATGTTTTTACAGGCTCTAATGATGTAGTTTTACGAACATTTCAAGCCTTACGTTGTGTGTTTCCCTTCGTGTCCAAAAGCATTGTATTTAAACCTTTGTCTAACAACACCATTACAGGTAATGTAAAGGCTACGTATCAATTATAGTTTCCACCTATGGCTAACGATCTAGATCTGTCAGAGATCCTGGACAAAGTCAAGGCTACTTCCTTTAAAGACGATGAGAGTGTCATGTCCGAAAAAGCTAATGGAAACCAATGTAATATTTCTCATGTTTCAGATGATATTATTTTTCTCCTCAATTGCGGATCATGTTAAATAAATACTTGCAGTTGTTTCTTTTATTTCAAAACGTATTGAAGCTTTTCATTTTGCCTGATTAAACCATTTTGTCTCACTAAGTTTGCTTAGAAAAGCCAATACTCGTCAGAAATAGGATACATTTCTCGTTATCACCCATAACATATAATTAGCGTACAAGCTTTAATTCGCATTTTGAATTTAAAGGACACACCCAATACCCATGATACAATGTTATTTTTGGTAAATACCTGTGTGACTCAGACGCAGACTTTGCCTTGAATATTATATAATTATATATAATTATGTACGTGTTACATGATCAGTAGCACAGTATTATTACTTATCCTAGCAGACAACACAATCATATATAACTTTCTTTTTACAGGGAAACAACGAATGCTGTATAACAACTTGATATTAGAGTGAGTATTATTAAACCACTTTGATGTAAAATCAATATAATAATAATAGTGTTACTTGTTAGCCTTGAAATGAGGTTGGAGTATAGCGTGTATGTATAAATTCCTTCTCGTTTTGTGTTTTAACAAGCAGGGATAATGAGCTCTAACCTCTATAGTCTATATACAGTATACTTACACTGCACTGAACAACTGCTATACAATATACATACACTGCACTGAACAACTGCTATACAATATACATACACTGCACTACATACAACTGCTATACAGTATACATACACTGCACTGTACAACTGCTATACAGTATACATACACTGCACTGTACAACTGCTATACAGTATACATACACTGCACTGAACAACTGCTATACAGTATACATACACTGCACTGAACAACTGCTATACAGTATACATACACTGCACTGAGCAACTGCTATACAGTATACATACACTGCACTGAACAACTGCTATACAGTATACATACACTGCACTGTACAACTGCTATACAGTATACATACACTGCACTGTACAACTGCTATACAGTATACATACACTGCACTGTACAACTGCTATACAGTATACATACACTGCACTGTACAACTGCTATACAGTATACATACACTGCACTGTACAACTGCTGTACATGTTCTATCTTAAGCGGCCCCTTTTTGTCGGGTTATTGACTATTACATACAATGTAGCCACCACGAGGTGCTTGCCATGTTGCTTACCGCATTCCTAACATTTCACATTGCTCAGGTCGAGATCAGGTTCAGATAAAACACATGTCACTTCGGTAAGCCACATTCTTTCTACGCTACATTCTTTATTTGTCTTTGTAGACTGTATAATGTAGTTCGTACCACAAGTAGGATTAAGAGTCTGTTCGCGAAGGAGTCTAAAATAAGACCGATCCGGCCCTATCAATAATAATTATTTAAAGGTTTCCTATTGTTTTCAGAACATATGCTTTTCGGGAACTTGTTCTTTTTTAATACTCATAAAAATTATCAAATTCTTCATTGTTTCAGGTATCCAGATCTAGATCTACAGAAGGAGATAGACCGGTAAGAGAGACAGAGTTTTACTTCGTAATCGCGTAAAAATACCTTAGTTAAGGGTACAATTAGGTTACAGCGACACGGCAAAAATCTAATAAACACGCCTTGATTACATCTTTAAAAAATGCTACACACAGCGATCTTGTTTGAAGTCGGTGATACCTCCTTCGTGGCATAGTTGTAGAGGGAGTTATGTGCCTCGCCGGGCTAAAGTAGTGGATGACCTTGCTGTACGGCAAGTTAAACAAGGATCTGAAACTACTAGGTTCCGTACAGACTCAACTCTGCACCCGTGTGACCAATATGTTCATTATATGCAAGCCTCTTGATTTATAAACTTTAACATGACCCATGACCATTAAATAAATACATACATAATTCGCTTTATTCGGGAATATTTATTATCGAACACATATCATTACACCCGTGTTAGAAGGACTTCGCACGTTTTACTTTCTGATTGTAGCTCCAGCTCTAAGACACGTGGATCTACACTGATTATTTACAATTAGGAACAATTTTCTTCCTTCTTTGCTAATAGGGCATTGTGGTACTGCACGAGCTAAAAAGCGGTAATTGTGCGACAAATGTGCGGCAAATTCAGTAACTATTATAAAATTGAAAGTAGTTTGTTTTTCAATGGGCAGATTCGATTTCAAATGGACAAGAAATTTTAATTTACAACCATCTTATCTCATACCAGCAGTGCCAGTACCAAAATTTCCTATGAAAGAGTTACAAATCTTCGTTGGGGTGGAACATAGACTTACATTAACAGCTTCCAAAATTGTTCCGAACAGTATGTTAGGAGAACGACCGATAGAGTAAAAATAAAAGTGGTGCGAAATGTAAATAGTGCGATTCCGCACCAGCCGAACTTGAAATGAAATGAAATGAAATAAGAATAAATCATGACTTTAAATTTAATCCTAATTTGTATGACCCTTATCAGTAGGAGAGCAGTTATTGTCAGTTCCTTTATTTGTGTGTTAAACTCAATATATAAGGTTTAACACTGAAATGTTATGCTTGACAGCTCATTAGCCAGTATTTTCACTTCTGGAACTTTCTACCAAAATATCCAACATTATTCAAAATGGCAGATTAACAACAGAGCAACCAGCTCGAACAACTTAATGCCTATTTTATAATTCTTCTTGCTGAACGTTTTAAACTCTCAACATGAATTATTCATATCTCAGTTAAAAGTCAAATCATGAAGCGTAAAGATTGTTCGAGCAATGCGCCCTAATGCCCTATAGCTCTGGATCATTCTCATTGAGTTCCAGTGTAAAGTGTGTGAACATATCGTGTTACGAATGATGTTAAAAGTCGAACAAGTAATGTAATCTTGCGTCTATTGTCCTATTCAAGTTGACTTACTATATACGTAACTTACCTCATATATTACTTGTTTGTTAGCTTTGTTAGACTTATTGGTTACAGATTGACATGTGATGTGATTTATTAATTGGAACGAGTAACGTGATATACCTCCACCACAATTCCCACCATTTCAACTAATTCGCATAACATGACGTCATTCTTACAGTGCGACATTGGCTGATCATTTTGCTCGAGTACTTGGCTCTACTTTTCATATTGCACGTCTCTCTCTTCTAATGTAATCAAGGGAACATGCCAGATATTAGATTACTCTGAAATACACTGAAGGTTACCTGTGAGACATCATGCTCCGGCTTATAATAAACAATTTGTTAATTTTCCTAATTAGTAGCGTGGTCGTGCCCTAAAATGATAACGAACACCCAGACTAGCACGAGTTAAGTTTGCAGTAAATATTTGGAAACTGGTAACGGAATTACGTGATGAATTTTATTTTTATCCAACATTAGTGTCTCAGTCCTCGTCTCAGATTGAGTATTATATTATGTAATCGGTAAGAAACTAATTTGTGTGCAGTAGAACTCAAGGAGCAATGAATTAAGTCGTTACATTCGTGTTCGTGTGCAATAAATTCTGTGTAATATTGTCAGTAGAGAGTATAATGTGATCCCCAGAAACTGTGCTGATATTTGATTCAGAAAACACCTGCTGTCGTGTATCTTACGTTTCTATGCCGAGATGCTTTCACTCTCGTATCCAGGGAGCTTTCAGCTTCAAGGAAGAGTATTCATTCAGTGAGCAAATTAGTTGCTACTCTTAAAACTACTTCTTGACTATACTTAACAGCATTTGGCTTTGTGATGGTCAATTGCCAGGTTCCAACATCATGTTTCAGTGTCTCCTAGTGAGTCTGAAATAATGAAGTTCAAGGACACTTCATAACTGGGGAGAATTTGATCTTGCCTTATGGATTGCGCGATCAAATATTTACTATAATTATATACGCGAATAAACAACGTGACGCGCGCGTATGCGCGTTTTTCTTCGCCCGATCGATCGATCGATGCGATCCGGCCGGCCGGCCGAGTGACTGATCCAGTTCAGCTAGAGAGTGTAATAGAACAGCTTAAATAGCTGACATGACATTGCTTACTTGTAGCTTATCTCCATATTTCAGGGTTCAGGAGGATCAAGGTCGACCGTACACAGTTCCCAGCTAGACAAAGCTGATGATAAGGGTCTCAGATCAGATTCCAGTTCGTCTAGAGTTAATCGCGATCTTCCCTCTGAATCAGAATCAAGTTAGTGATTGGTACAACTTCTTTGTTCTCACCGCCAGTTTCGAACCTGACCATGGTTATTGCCGGCAACTCATTCATCTTAGTCTGAATTAATTCCATGATTTGTCATATTTCGTCGAATATTAAGTTTCAAAGTAAGTTTTTTAAGTTCCCTGCATAAAAATATTCCCACAAACTACCAATTGTGTAATTTGACCTCATAATTCTACAGATTTGAGGCTTTTACTATTTGTCTAAATCATGTGTAGTAATTGGTTATTAATTGACTAAAGTCCTTAAGTTGCGTCTTATATGACCGTGGGTGGTATGGCAATTCAAATATTTATGTTGAGTAGTACGGATGCCTTAGAAATATGGGCTCAATTTGAGGGAGGGGAATAATTCTTCAAATAATTTAATTTAAACATGATGCTTAACAATTGATGAGAATAAAATATTATGTAATTTTATGTGGTCTACTGTTCAAAAAGAGTTATTTCCATCACTGACTGTTAAGTAGGTTTCATTGTATATACAATCGGGGCACATGATATAGATTAACGTTGGAGTGGTCACAAATCGGCATGGAATTTACTGCATAAAGCAAAGTATATTTTATTTTTACCAAATTTTCTCTTGAGAACGTCGCCTAGGTATGCCTGCTATGGAAACTGTAAAGTAAACAAAACTCATAGGCGCTATTTTCGAGAAACCCAACCAAATTTGATTTCTAACAGGACTTAAAGCTTTTAAAATGGCCCAGTATGAGACTTTAAGAAAGATGGAAACATGTGCTGACAGACACGTTAAAACTTACTAAATGACCATACAAACTTTTATTTATCACGTTCTACCACTAATAGTTTAAAAAGGTGAAATGTGGCCATCGTGATATAATTGTAAACATTTAGTTATCTCAAATGTTAGTAGGAATCAGAATATTATTTATTTTATGGAAACTTAAAACTTTCCTGCAAACTTTCTTAAGTTTAACCTTCTAGAAACACGATTGACCCACTGATTAGATCAAGCTGCATTATTATTATTAACATAGCCCAGTAACCGTCTTAACATATATATTTTTTTCTCAGCGGAAAATTGTAGTGTTGTCTCTCTCTCTCTCTTACTTTAGACTCACTGCTCTTTCCACAAATTGGCTTTATTCGACTTTCCCATGGAACATCAATTTGATTTCCTTAATGAGTTGTCTTAATATCTGTATCCAATTAATTAGCAAGGTGCATGTCCCTAATTGACACAACAAATCTAAACGGAAGCATGATATTTGGTGACCTGTTTTCAGTGATCATTAGAGTAATCATCCAATTAATTGCCCAATAAATTACCCAATAAATTACCCAATTACTCCATCAGATGGTAGATATCCTGCCCGGACCCAGGGGCACTCCACGAGGTACGAGTCAAGCAGGTCCTCAACTTCTAGTCGCCATTCTTCCGCTCATCTCTCTGGGGCTAGGTCTGTGCTGAACTTGTCTGGATTTTATATTTTGTCTGCTTTTGCTTGTTATTTTCTCAGTTTACTCACTCAATGTACTGTAATTAGAGCTACTCAAAGTTGGATTGTGTTAAGTGTCATAGACTAGTTAAGTTGTTCTAATCAGTTTCCAAACAGCCTCAATATCACTAACTTACCTTCTCCCCAGAGATGACCAGCTGTCTTCACTGGACGCTATGTTCGACACACTGATAACAATGTCCGGAGTACCGGAGAACGCAGAACGGATCCTCAACTCAGAGGGTCTGGACACACTGGTAGCTACCATGTACCCTGAGTCCTGTCATGGGTGTGGCACAATGCCACTCGGACACATCTTCCACTTGGCTAAACGAGAAAGGAAGACACAGAGCATGAAAGCCATTTCAGATGTTTACAGGAATCTGGGAGAGACGGGAAGGAAGCATTATAAAGTTCACAGACACGCGTCCACACTAGTCAGGAGTTTGGAGGGACTGATGGACGCGTACATTAAACTCAGAACTGATCCTGATACCCCACTTCCTAACACTCAGCCTTTAAAAACTCTTATCATTCTCACCAAACTGTCCTTTGACGAGGAGTACAGAACTGTAATGAACGATATCGGGGTGATATTTGCAATCTCAGAGTATATCGCACTGTGTGCCCTGTATAAACCAATAGCTTTCTCCTTCCCTGAGCACAACTCCACCCAGATCTCCCTGAGTGAGGTGGTAAAGTACGGCTGTACGGCCCTCACCAACCTAACCTGCGGGGACCAGCATGTTAAAACGGCCCTGTCCCACATAACCCCCTTCCTCGAGGTGTTGTTAGGACTACTTCACGGTAACGAGTCTCCGGACGTAGTCAGGGTCGTCACCAGTCTGTTTAGGAACTTGAGCTGGAGAGCAAGTTCTCAGACCAAGCTGAATTTGGCACATTGCCAAGTTTGTTCTGTGCTGATAGACGTGGGGCGACGTTGCAGTGATGCTAGTACTATGAAAGTACTGACGAGCTCGCTCTGGAATCTCAGTGCTCACAACGCCGCTAATAAAGAGGTGAGGCTCCTCGTGTAAAAATTGTAAAACGGAATTGCAGTGAATTAGCACACCTTATGTGTACTCTTTACGGTCGCGTGGGTTTAACCAAGGTGCGTGTTTTGCCCACAAATAGTCATGCTAACATGTTGTTAACACGTGTTTCTTCGTCAGGCGCTGTGCAGTGAGGGGTTGGAACTCATCGCAGTGCTGGTAAAGCAGCCTCTACAGAGGAACACTGTGGTGCTAGAAAACACCCTGGGTATTCTTAGGAATATTAGCAGGTATGTCCCTTGACAAGCTTTATTGCAAATTTAGAGCTCACTTGTCTAATCGGCGTGTCACTCACGTCGTTAGCTTCCAGAATGCGCGCGGCGTGGCGATGTAAATAGCGTAAGGTATTCCGTGTTACAATATTTACTCAATTGTTTTTTGATACGGTTGAATGGCTTCTGGTTTGGTGGTGTCCGTACTTCATTAATTCCAAATAAATGTGGAGAATTGCGACTGTTCCCGAAATTTTCCGGATCTTTAAAATCATGACTTGACCATAATTAATTATTCAATATTCCTCGATGTACGTAATAATGTGATTTAATCGAAAACAACATATTCACAAACTTGAATTGAGCGTTATCGAAACAATATAATATCGACTTTGTATAAGTTAATCCTTTTCAACACGAATGAAATCTGGTATTTTATTGAAACTCTCCTCCTACATACATGACCACATTTGTAAACCCTGACTCTTCAGTCACATAGCCCAAGTGGGCCAATACAGAAGAATTCTCCGAGATTCAGGAGTGTTGCCTCGGCTAGTGGACTTCCTGCAAAGTACCAATGACACGGTAATAGCCATGTCGTGTGGAGCACTCTGGAACTTGTCCGCCAGATCCCCTCCTGACCAGACCATGTTGAGGGAGTTTGGGGCTGTCCCTCTGCTCAGATCTCTTTCTCTTCACACCGACAAATCTGTGAGTAAAACCTTAATATTTATAAATAATAATATTTATAAAAGTACACCACACTCGATCAGATATGGGCTGTTTATAGTGTCTGATTATAAAATAGTGTTACAATGATCTACTACTATCTAACTAATAACTGTATAGATAGTGATATAACTATCTAACTAATAACCCCAGATCTCCAAGTCTGCGCACGGAGCGTTAAGGAACATAATGGCCGGCTCCTCCCGGTCCGTGTCCCCCTCCTCCCACGAGGACCAGTCTGGGGATCAGGTGTCTGATCACGTGATGCCACCCACACAGTTCTGGTTCGATGACTACTCCCTTATCAGCTCCAGTGACTCCAGGAGCAGAACCTCTACAAGTCCCAGGGTTAGTTCTTATTCTGTTACTCTATTAATTGCATTAAGCGCAAGATTTTATCAGAGATTTATGAATATCAGTTCACTATTCGTTAAGTCTGAGAGTTTGGTAATAAATGAACCTGTTTTCAGCAGGAAAGACGGAAAGTAATGGGAAGACAGTTATCTAAGCAGCATCAGCAACAGCAACAACAGCTCCGTTTCTCCTCTAACGTAGACAAATTCTCATGCTGACGTAACCATGGTAACACGTACCTAATAACCATGACGCCCTTACTACAGTCAGTCTAACATCAGTTAGAAATTATCCGGTAGTGCTGCGCAACACCTCTTGCTTTCAACGACTCATTGAACTTCGTAAATTATTGAACTGCAAGTCTGCTTCAAGGGTGTTAACGTCTTTAAAAAATTAAATTCCAAACAAAGTTCATATAGTTCTGGAAGGAAAAGTTGGTTATACGACTACGGAAACAAACTCTACCCGGAGATATGGATTATAGAGAACGCTCGGTAAACTTCTGGGTCTCAGTGATGACTTACAAGCATTCGGATACGCAGTTTTACGGATTTTTATCACCTGGTTTTTACTTGTTACTTGCAAAACACTATTTTTAGAACATACCTGTGTGTAGCAAATGAGCTGTAAAGGGCGGGTTTATTATGTCATCATGTTAGACGTATTGACGACATGCGGAATTTTTAGTGAGAAAACTTAAGAATTAATATTTATACTCTATAGCGCATGTTCGTCCGCATGGTTTTTTTTATAGTTACTGCATTAGTTTTATAATATGGAACTTTTTAGAGTTATGTAAAGTTTTAGACTTGTGTTAACTGAAGTATACGGAAACTTTCAATTGTTTGAAAAATCCGGAGCTGTTACTGGACCTAATAGTTGGTGGATCTAGGGATTACATACATTAAAATTCCTTTATAAAACTTCTTTGACAAAAAGTTTTTGCTGCTGGTTGGGCGTACCGAATTTTCACCTACAAAAGTTCACACCAAATTTTAACGTTTAAAAACGGTTTATGTTGAGATCATCCATATTTTTTTTCTATCTATCTAAAACTTTTAAAAGCTTTATTTTGGAGCTTTACCCGATATCTTAGATACCTAAAGTTCTAGTCCTTAATTTTATCGCCCTTAATGCTAACCTTACAGTTGAACAATAAACATATACCACCTTAAAGTTTTAACTCATTTTTGACATTTTACTGGAAAACTTTTAAGTAATCCAGTAATTTAAGATTTTAAAATTTCCTAAACTAAGATACAGTTTCATATTATGAGGTGTATGAACTCGACGCTAACTAAGCTGAGTCAATTTACAAATTTCCCCTTATATTAATAGCTCGGTCACACGGCACTAATCGGATTAGTTTCATTAATCATAGTATCTGGGTCTGGGTTTAGAACATAGTCACAAAGCCCTGGGTGTCAGCTTGTTCCTCTCTGACAACGGCCGATCAAAATACCATGAATAGTTGGCAGAAGCTTTGCGTTTCGACTAGTTTCTATCGACGAATGTTCGGTAGTCCATTGATCCGATTCCTCAAAGTCAAACCGCTCCAATCGTCTTATCAAATATTTCGTAACTTATGACAAATGACAATATGCATTATGCCGTTATTATTCAGGCCATATATATCGATAAATAGGTGATAATATGATAATCCGATCTGGGCCGTATGACCGGGCAATTAAAACAGACTCAAATAATAAGATATGTCTGTATCATATTAAACGCATATAATTATAATTATAGCCTCCTCAATAACGATCAGTATTTGGTCAACGTTTGGCAAGGAATAATGTCCTTAGGACTTCGGAGGTTTAATTTATTTTCACGAAAACGTCGACAAATTTTCAGATGTGGCGAAAGGTTTCCTTAATATTGATATGGGAAAATTGTTTAAAAGACAAACGTTCGTGTCCACTTTTGTTTAACTGAAATCAAATGATTAAACGAGTATACCAAGACGTATAATTGTAGTGTTAACTTTGTAGTACTATAAATTGCAATGCTTTGAATTCCGTTATTACAATTGTATCAATTTGTTCGTTACCCTTCAACCCTACGTCTGGTTGTCAGATACTTCAGGGACCATACTATTGAAAGGTGAAGCCCCAAAAGTCATCTTCTGCACGCATTTCTAATAAGAAATAGTTAATCGGGCTTGCGCTCTAATTTGAAGTGAATTCCTTTTAAAGGAGAGACAATCCTTAGAATTGTTTCTCGAGCATTAACCTTACTTATCGTCCTTATATAGTTAATGTGACAGTTTGAAGAGACCACTTTCGAGGTCTTGTAATAAACTTCAGCCTTTATCAACATTGAATGGGGATAACCTGTTACTGTTGCAAAATTGATGGAGATGTTTCCTATTTTTCCGTTGGAAGTCTTACATATAAAACCGTTTAACTAGTTAACTTGTCCCAGCTTGTTCGACCTCCCCAGTGCTTTGTTGCACTCTTAAGCACGTACACCGACTTTAGGATAACTTCCAGATGTAGAACAACAAAACCCTATACCTGCTTAGTGCTTACACTGCTGAGTATAAGCTTATATCGTTGAGATGCATGTTTGGATTCAGGCAACCCAGAAACTCTTACAAGTTTCTGCAATAAACCACATAGAGAAGGTTAGTCGACAGCTCTAGCTCACAGTTACCATAGTTTCTGAAGCTGTATTCTAACGGTTGTATATTTTCACTGACCTCCTTATCTACTTAAAATTTGCCTGAACACCTTAAATGGTCTCAAACGAGCTTCCATTTCAAGTCTACTTTAAGCAGATGCTTTGGACGGATTTGAATTTGATGATTTTAAGTAGGTGTGACCGGAGTTCCCGGAGTTGGAGGTCGGGCCGCAGTTCAGTGGGTTCCTCTTGGTCAAATTCTTAAACATGCACCTCTGTAATATTATTGCGTAGTTTAACAGTACATAGTTATCCCCTACTTGTTTTTGTACTTTGTAGTCTTTGCCCCTTTTTTGATATTTGCTGTCATCGGAGACCAGGGGAGTTGTTAGCTTCACTACAATCTCTAGGACTATAGCCACTAGATAGCCGGGTCGGCAATCTAATTCTAAAAGCAGCGTTAATAATTGTAAAAGTGAAGGATAGAAGGCAGCTATAAATTCTGCCTTTTAACAGTACAGTTATCCTCGTGTTTAGCCCTGCCCATGTTTTGTTTACTATGTCGTTGTTAGGGTTGCTAATGTCAACCCTAGTCGTTCTACTTATTCTAATTAAAATGCTTGTCCTTACATTTTTGCTAGTTAGTCGATTAATTTGTCTTCTGTCTCTGTTGAGTAGAATTATTTTGTCTTATTAAGTGTTAAGACGATGTACTAGCTTCCATTTCAGCGTGGCATTCAAAATGTGTTGTCTATCAAATTGATGTTTTGTCAAATTAATGCTTAATGGGCTGTCTTTCAAGTATAAAAACTTAAAGACTTTTGACTTTTTAAACATTACCATAATCATACTTGAGTCTGCTAGTCGCGGTCAACATACTTATGACGAAGCATTAAAAGTGCAGTTCAGTATTCAGTCCAGGATTCATTACGACGAGGGTTGAGGGCGCGTCAGTCCTACTAAAAGTACTACATACCATCTCTATAGTGCTTACATAACCAAAGGTTAATGCACTGTACAAGAATTGCCGCGCGCCAATCATGCTAGCTTGCCAAGTCAGATCACCCACTTGAAGCATGAACTTGCTTTTCTGATGTCATCAGTTTTATAAAGCTAACTGTTTGGTCACACCTTGTTTCATTAAATATGCTTCACTGTAGTTTGTATCACCTCCCTCTGTTTAGTATTCGGTGAAGACTAAAGTTTCTTTTTATTTGAATTCATGCATCTCCTTGTTTGTAATAATTGTGATATTGAATATTCATGTTAGTTAACAGAATCAAGGAGACTGATCGAAATTTTAGTTGAGGGAAATTGTGTTTTTCTATTTCTTGTTTTCCTTAAACATTCCTTCGTAAACTGATTTTCCTGGAAAGACTCAGTGATGACAATGTTATAATAAAGGTAAGTATATCTACTTACTTTCATTATAACGTTGTCATCACTGAGTCTAATGTTTTTGAGGGATCATTAAATGAGACTTGAAAACAGTACGCGATTTAGTTAGATTTTATAAAAACAAGTTTTAATTTTAGTTATACCCAAACTGAAAACATTTTTGTGATATTTACAAATCAGTCTTAACCGCTTTCTGAGCAAATCTCGGGACCGAGATGGTGATTTTTAAACGTTTGAAATACGTTAGACATCCGTTTTCGACCGTTTAGTTTGATCGATTCGTGTGCATTGGCCATATAATATACAAATATGTCAATGTAAGCTATTACAGTTACAGTTACAGTTACAGTTACAGTTACAGTTACAGTTACAGTTACAGTTACAGTTACAGTTACAGTTACAGTTACAGTTACAGTTACAGTTACAGTTACAGTTACAGTTACAGTTACAGTTACAGTTACAGTTACAGTTACAGTGTTACACCTTCAAGTTAGAAAATATTAATGACGACATCGAATACATTGTACACATTTCACGATCTCAGTACGCCCATCCTTTTTGTTACTTTTACTTTTAAATAACCACTTTTAAATCCTTTAAATTCTTAACATCACAGTATGTGTTTCTGACGATGTAAAAGTTGTATCTCGGGCTCAGTAACATTTCATTATGAGCATGATCTGCTAACTTTAGTTAACTTATCAACAACGTCTCATCGGCACAAATATCTAGTATATATCGGCATTTCTTAGTTTCAAAAAGTAACCCTTTGTCTTCTTTGATTGGGTGTTTATGACGAAGTATTTAAGTGTTGTTTGTCTGATGTTGCACTTTTAGTTGTTCCCGTGACCAAAAACAGCTGGCGGCCTTTTTAGGAGCGGCACTTTGCAACTTCGGATTTCAAAGTGAAGTCATCACAACGACGATTCTTTTTGAATGATCTAAAACTAGTACATGTGATTGTGGCAACTCTCACCTGTTTTGCAGACAGTACAAATTATTTAACAATGTCCGTTTGATAGCTCGAGGTGTTACAATATCCGTGTCTCAGGAACTGTCTCCGTCATATCCTGCAAATCACTCCAGCTCGCGGTACAGAAAAGAGCCTTATTTGACTCGAAATATTTTTTAAATGCCCACTGATTGACATTTCAGGCAGCATGGAAAGGGGTAAAACGACTGTACGAATATTTGAGCATGAGACCACGACAAGTCCAGGTAAGGAGATTTTTCGTAGCTTCACACGTGCCCTGGCAAACAAGTGGCCTCAATACCGAAAGCAGACGTACAACTCCCGAACATTCCGCTGCCGCATAGCGTCGCTTGTCAGCAGTGACAGTAGTGTCAGCTGCACATTTTCCTCACACAAATTACAGTCATTAGGTTTATGTCATCAAGCATGAAGGGAAACGCAATTCCCAAAGTTCCACAATCCTAAATTGCTAGCTCGGCTATAATCTTTGTCGTTTGTTTGCGTTGGTCATACACAGGACGTGTCCACCGACCACTAGTTCCAATATCTCACACCTCCACCGACCACCACTAACCGGTTATAACCGAGCCCCCAAATATGTTTAACCGTAAACCTCGAGATGTGCGTCTGAGAAGGGAGCTAGTAACTTGTAACCCTCCCTGCCCAGAACTCGGAGAATCTCATCTGGAACACCAGATAAAGTCTATGAGGGGGAACACAAGAGGAAAAGACGATGATAAGCAGGATCCCTTCATGGTGAGTGATATCTGCATGACAGGGTGTGTGGGGAGAGATGTCGTTAATACTTTAAGGGGACATACACCAAAACCTTTTTTGCCGGGACCCGGGATTTGACTTCATATTATGAAAGTAAAGATTACAACTGTAAGATTTGAGGCATTGAAAATTTTTTTTGAGAGTACGCACATTCGAAAAAAAAATTATTTTCTTTTTCGAAAGTTTTGGAAATTTTCAGAAGTCTGTCACTGTAATACCGATATTTCAGTCATTTTAAACGTTGTTTGGCTGATTTTTTAACTGAACATTATTTACAATCCGTACAAGAAGCCCTTCAAAGGATTTTATAATTAAAGAATAGATGACGAAGTTACAGACCAAACAAGGTCGAGAGGAGCAGAATTGAAGTTTTTGTAAAAATCAAAGTTGTATATTTTACCATTCACCCAGGTCATAAGATATCGCTTCACAAATTCTTGTGAGTGTAGCTGATGATCATATCCAACATTTTGGAACAGGATTTCTCTCAATTTTGAGTTTTAAGGTATGAAATGTGGCCTCAAACGACTTAGTAAAATTCATCGTAAAAAAGGGCCAAACATCGCAGATTTAAGGCTTAAAATGCCTATAACTCAAAAAGCATCAATTTTTTTGAAATAATTTATACAGAATCGTAATCAGCTTGAGAAGACGAATCTTTTAGTACCAAATTTATAATAGTTTAAGACACAAAATTTGTAAAAAAATGTGTACAATTTGTAAAAAATTTATACAAGGGGGGACCCTTGTGTTCAAGCTAGAAAATTATTTAAGACAATTTGTCTTCTAAAATAACCTATTTGGTACTAAAAGATTCGTCTTCTCAAGCTGATTACGATTCTGTATAAATTATTTCAAAAAATTGATGCTTTTTGAGTTATAGGCATTTTAAGCCTTAAATCTGCCATGTTTGGCCCTTTTTTACGATGAATTTTACTAAGTCGTTTGAGGCCACATTTCATACCTTAAAACTCAAAATTGAGAGAAATCCTGTTCCACAAAGTTGGATATGATCATCAGCTACACTCACAAGAATTTGTGAAGCGATATCTTATGACCTGGGTGAATGGTAAAATATACAACTTTGATTTTTACAAAAATTTCAATTCTGCTTCTCTCGACCTTGTTTGGTCTGTAACTTCGTCATCTATTCTTTAATTATAAAATCCTTTGAAGGGCTTCTTGTACGGATTGTAAATAATGTTCAGTTAAAAAATCAGCCAAACAACGTTTAAAATGACTGAAATATCGGTATTACAGTGACAGACTTCTGAAAATTTCCAAAACTTTCGAAAAAGAAAATAATTTTTTTTTCGAATGTGCGTACTCTCAAAAAAAATTTTCAATGCCTCAAATCTTACAGTTGTAATCTTTACTTTCATAATATGAAGTCAAATCCCGGGTCCCGGCAAAAAAGGTTTTGGTGTATGTCCCCTTAATACTTGACTTTATGTTACTTTAGACTGCGGTACGTTGTGAACAGGTAACATGGTAACATGGTCTTTGAGGTCCGGTATGTTGGTGTGAACTAAGACAGACTGCACTAGCTTTTCTGCTTTTTACTTTGACAACAAAAGACAATTGAAGCGTGTCATTTTTAAAGCCATATTTGCATCTTTTTGGATTTGGGAATTGTGTTAGGTAACCTGTAAGTTTAAAAAACACCCGCTTTGATTGCATCTTTGTGTTAGGAAAATTCCAAGCTCAATATAAGCTTTTTATGGTATCATGGATGATGACACGAATTTTGTGTTCAGGGTCTGAACCTAGGAGTAATAAGACAACGAATACTTTGGTGGAGGGAACACATACCAGAGATAGAACCTGCAGCTGACTGTATGATGATTTCCGGCTTGACCCCCGTCATAAAGGTCCTCAACGGATCAGGTTATATGATTTCAAATTAACTAAAGGTTGTACTTGGTTGTAGATAAATGATGATCGGATCATATCACCTCAGGAGGTCAAGCTTCGTAGTTACTGATACTCAGACTATGTTGCTCAATTCCGTAGGATATATTATCTGATAAGATGCCATCACTTAGGACAATTTGTCTAGAACCCATAATAATATATATTTTATTGTTGAATGTGACAGACCCAATAGAATTTACGAACAAATAACAACTAATAGTAATACCAATATCACTCTGCATTCTTTATAATTATAGTAATCAACAGAAGGTCAATTCTGCACGAGATAAAATGTCGAGTGTCCTCAATTCGAACAGACTTTATTGAAGGAACATGTCCTTTTTCAATTATATGGATTTGTATGCGTCGACGACTAACGATTAATTTGCATATCAGGATGTTGGTTTTACGCTCTGAGCAAAAAGGAACTGAAGGATTTGATAGACCTCGGAGCTGATCCTTCAAGAATCATCTTCGGACAAACAGTCAAGCAAAATTCCCATCTAAAATACGCAAAAGAGAACAACATTGGATACATTGCTTTCGACTCAGCATTTGAACTGCACAAAATCCGGTATCCGCTCTAATTTCAGTTTGACATCAGCAACTTTTCATTCGCAACTAATCATGATTAATATAATATAAGTGCAGCAATGACACCCAGCCGGGCTTCTCTACAATTACGATCAGTGTTGAACTTGCTTTAATTACAGGGCATTATAACGTACTGGAATACCGAGAAATGTAAACGTACAATCTTATAATCTGGCTTTAATTTCAATTAACAGAGCTTTAAAGTACTTGATTTTAGTGGAGATATAAATTTACAATGACTCAACCAGGAAGGAGTACAAGGAAGCGAAGCTCCTCATCCGAGCGTGTATAGTTTCCGAAAATAAACCTATCCCAAAGTACGGACGTAACTCCCAGAGTTGTCAGGATATCCTTAACACTGCACGGATGTTGGGACTTAAAGTGGAAGGTTTGTAGAGCTGATAAGAAAACTTATTCATCTATCAAATTCAAATATGGTTAATGAAGGTTGTGTAATCATGGTAGGTATGGTAACTATGGTAACTATGGTAACTATGGTAACTATGGTAACTATGGTAACTATGGCATTTACACGATGATAACCTTTTAAGGTTGCCTCTATAAATTATTTTTAGCATTAACAGTAACCATGATTTATCATTCAGGAGTTGTCAGTGTCATCAAGGAGCCGAGTGATAGCAAGGACATCAAGGAGACCTGCACAATGATCCGAAACATATTTCAATACGCCGAAAAGAATCTGAACTATAACATGGGCATTGTATTTGTAAAATTCAATATAGACAGAGATCTCACGGACGAGGATAGCTTTATTGAATTGGCGGGAACTATCAACAGGAACTTTTTAACTTCCTTCCGGAAGATGCCAGGAGGAAATTCCAAATCTGGAGGAATAAACATCATTGTGGATCCGGGGGAATACTTTGTCAAGGACTCGGTGTCGGTAGCTGCCACCATCATCGGTGTCAGACGTTTAGGTTCCAAGGATAATAGGAAAGTGTACTACTATGTTAATGAGTCCATCTTTCAAAGTTTCAGTCACGTCAGAATAAAGCCTAGTGAGAAGTTCGTCCCTAAGGTTCTCTTTTACACCGCCAAAATCAAAAGTACTAAGGGAGAAGTAGAGGCTACGGTATACGGCTATTCTGATGAAGAGAATGATGTTATTGCTAAAGGAGTAGAACTTCCTGTAGATATGTGTAACGGGGACATGCTCGCTTTTTACGGACTAGGAGCTTATGTGAAAAGCTTCGAATCCGACTGGATGATAAATAACGCTGAGGTTTACTATTTCTGTTCCACAGAGGACACACTTAAAATAAAGGAGTGGGTACCGACTGCAGAAGTAAACGTAGAAAATAACACGATGCTGATATGACACTATGTTTTTAGTTTTAGGAATGATGCAAAACCTGACGATGGTTTATGATCTTGGGAGAAAAGTAAACTTTCTAGCTTATCATGGTAGCGACATGTTATGGGCTTAATTATGGTTTTGTTCAACAGAAATGATCAGATGGCATATTGTTAGAGAGTAGAGTAACTAGGTAGACTCAGCTAGAGTACTAGCTCAGCTAGACCCTTATTAAGGGTTAGATTTTGAATGCGTGGGAGTTTGAAATTAATTTTACTTAATGTATCAATTATCAATCAATCAAGTAACTGAATTGATTTTGAATTTTTTTATTGAAATTTTTTAATTTAAATATTTATCTTTGATTCAATTGACATTTGAATTTGTATTACTATTAAAAATCTGGATTAACACAGTTGAGTTCAGTCACTTGTTGAGGAAATTGGAATTGTAAGTAACGAGATGTAAGCCGATAGAAGAATTGAATAGATTTAGCAGTATTACTCAATAGTATTAGTGCCGGAAATATAAAATCTTGTGTTAAAAACCTTTCATTGAAGTCTCTTTAAAATTTTAAAGGAATTATCAGAGCTGAACGATTTAAGTATTGTCAACTGTTATCAAATCTCATGGTGGCCATGCGAATGAAACCCGATAGAATAATAATTTTGTATAATATATGGCACTCCATTAAATCGAGTTTACCGTTCCAACTCGTGCTGATCACCACCACGAACTAGGAAATTCTTTGCTGCCACGTTGCACTTGACAGCCAAACCAATAAAACAACCTCTACTCGTTGTTGTCAATCAGAAAGTACACGTGACCTAAATAATGAGCTCCCCTCATGGGGTGGCAAGTCCCCATGCATCGTGGTCCGATAGTTTTATTGCGTCTTAATATAGGTTTTTAGTATTATCTTGTCCAGTAAGAGTACAATCACTTGGTCACGTGGTTCTCAAACGTTGTGATATTCTAACGTGCATGTCCTTAAAAATATGTCCTAAATCCTAATAAAAATAAAAATATGAAGCATGATACCTCGTGCAACCATGACAGGAACTTTAAATATTATAATAATGCAACCACAGGAACTTTAAATATATTAATAGTGCAACCGCAGGAACTTTTAATATTGCAACCACAGGAGCTTTTAATAGAACAAGGTGGCCAAAAAAGTACGTGGACAAACATCAGGGTTTATGGCTAATGGCTTTGTCAATGATGACCATTGTCCCGATTCAGATTTTTATATGTGGTCTGACTCGTTCTTCTCAGTCAAGCGAAGAATAGTTCAAATTAAGCACAAAAGGTCATGATTATTTTTCTCGGCCAGTTTGTTTTTGCTGCTTTCAAAAATATAGATTCTGATATTGGAAGATCTGGATCTTTTGTTATACCTTTTGTGACCTCAGGGCTTACGAAAATTTTTAAATGATCCTGATCCTTCCCAACTTAGACTGAGTTCAAACTTTGACACATCCAATCCTGTTTAAAAATGTTTCATGGAGACCATAGGGGGCTTCGTTTTGTTCGTAAGCCTCACTGCCTTAGCTAATTTTAAACAATGTGCAGGCCATATAAACGATTGAATTGATTTCTTTGGGCAGTACGTAAGTTAGTTTAATTTAAATGTATAATTGTGGGTAGTATCTCATTACATTTCATTTTGTTTAACTTTAGCCTTTCGAGGTTTTAACTTTAATTTTAAGCTATTCTGACAATGACAAGAGGGACCCCGTGAAATCTAGCTCTGTTACATTTTTAACAATTGTTCAGACCCTATCCAAAACTTGTTCATGACCTGTCCAAATCATGTCCTAAACATGTCCGAAACTTGTCAAAAATTTATCTTTGTCCTTTTCTTTAGGTTGGTCCCACTTTACAAGCTAACTTAAGACTAGGTTACTTGGCTATGGACCCTCAGTCCTTGCTGCACATCAATTTGTAGAGTCGTCCATTCTGTTCACAATTTGTTTAATTCCTCTTCACAATTTCTGAGTCAGTCCAATTAATTGCGTTTGAACTATCGAAGCAAAACATCAGTTTTGAGGGCTGCGGCTGATTCATAATCATTCAATTGAAAAGAATTCATGCAAATGTTTGCGCATCATATCCTCCTCATCTTTTTTTTAATTGAGTTTTATTTGAAGAGTATGTACCCCGGGTGCGTTTTTGCATGGAAGTGGAACCTAGACTGCATCGATAAGAAAAGAACGTGAATTAGACCACACAAACACGCGTCAGGAAGTGTTATAATAATGCAGCTAGTTCAATCCATGAAGCACAAATCAAAACGATGACTCCACAAAAACTTTTAAACCATCGATGACTTCGTCAAGGTTTTTAATAACCTCTTATTAAATTTGATTTTGAGGCAATAGCTTGAACTTTACGAGTAAATCAAATGCAGAAACTGGTAAATAACAATAGTAAATGGTAATAAATGAAAAGTCTTAATGAATTTAAAAATAGAATCGTGGAATATTCAAATATCATATCCCCTATACACTAAACGAATAAGACCAAGTAATAATAAAATATAAACCACCTTCAGTTAATTCTCACTGTGATAGGCTTTGAAAGTGTTCGAATAAAAGTCCCTGTAATGTTTGACTCCCTTCATCCTCCCCTCCAAATCTGGAACTCCCTCTGGCAGGAAAGGCGTGTGGACCACCTCCGCGTAGGGTCGTGTGTACTCGGGGAGTTTCATGGTCTCTTCCGGCAGCCAGTCCATAAAACAAGCCAGGGTTTCTCGAGTGATGTCAGGGGTTTTGGAGGATTTGACGCAGTGAGCTGTGGCCCGGAGATGACCACCACTGAGGTACTGGAAGGACTCTCCAAGTTGCACAACCAAACAGTCAGCAGGAATTGTGACCTTGACAATGCTCCCGTCACTAGGATGTTTAATATGTAGACCACAGTCAGAGGGGGCTGGTATCTCGTTACCCTCTAGGTCCAGGTAAAGAGGACAGGTGAGGATGGTGATACCACCGTGATCAAGATGCCACCCACACAGACCATCCTCAGACTTGTTAGCAGCTGGGGGAGCAGGGAAGTAGTGAAGGAGACGACCCTTACAAGCCGTCCCTTTCTTCAGCATGTCCAGGAAGTGCCCAGCGGAGTGCAGCCCGTTAGTGAGACCACGCAGATATTTGTCAAACAGTTCGCAGATCATGTAGCCTACACCCACCTGGATATGGGACATGTTCTTGAATGCTGGCTCCAGTTCGGGTAAATCCTCTGAGGGCCACACATTGTCAGAGTACATTTCCGGGAATGTATCCTTCAGGTACTGATCATCTGTGGTGGTGTCACCTAGTGTGTTCGCGTAGTAGGACCCTTTGGCCGTGTCCGGGACTCCGTTCCTCATCTTCTCCTTGCCATGACTCCAGCCAAAACTGCGGGAATATATGATTTGAGTGCTTGTCAATGTACTCAGTCACATTTTCATTTCATGTCACAATATCATTACTTAATCAAAATACAACTTGTTTGCTGCTCAAAGAGGTGGTAAAGTGCTTAGTGAATTGAATAAACAAGATGAGAATGAGCGATTGTCCTAAAAACCGTGTTTTGACGGAACGAGAGAAAAAAGGTCGGATTGTTATCATGATCTCAATTACTAGTTTGTTTAAAGTGGACAGTATCACATACCTATAGTTGCTCTCTGAGTGGGTGTATTTATCTTTTATCTCTTCGGATAGATTTGCGAACTTTCTGATTGTTCTCAGGGCAGCGATTCTCTCCTTTTGGAAATCGGGTAGGTCCCGTATTACAATTAAACCAAGGCCATTCGCTCCAAAAGCGGCGGAAACGTCTTCAGTAAAGTCTTTTCCGGCTTTGAAGTCGAGATATGAGATTGAAACTGGTTTGATCTCTGACATGACCCTTGTAATTGAGGTTTGAATAATTAACATAATAATATATTCAATTTACCTTTTTTTATCGCACAACTTATATATAATATAACAACAGCAACTTTTGGATTATTTCAATAGTAATAAAATATTGGATCTAAATTCCACCCAGATTCCAAATTTTATTTTTAATTCTTCTCATTTTATTTTGAGGTAAACATTGTTGTATATATAATTATACGTATATATTGAACCACAATCAGAGAATGGAATTGGCTTGGCAACACATATCTCAATTTCTACCATAAGCACAGTCACTTCAATATTACGCAAAAGTAAGAACCTTACTACTCGTCGCGGTAGTTAGTTAAAGTTGGCACTTGTAGATCCCGTACCAGGTACTGTTACCGTTAGTAGCACGTTATTCCAGTAGTTTACGTGGAATTACATGTCACTTAGGGTAACGACTGACAGTATTATGCTTTTCATACTGTTACGGATGGTAATAATATTGGAGCTCGAGAGGTTTCGGCTTCATTTTAATAAGCGGTGATAATGCAGTACTGTCATGGTTAAGTAGATCCTACGCACATGGTGGTATCAATGAGATCGAATCTGAAGATTGATGGCACCGTTTATGTGGATCATCTGGCGCCATCAGACGATATCTATGACAATCATTTGCGTCAAATTCAACAGAAATTATTAACGTTCAGTACGTGACGTTGGGACAGTATGTAATATAGCGGTTGGAGGATTTTATTCATGGTAGCTGCTGCAAGACACAAGTTGATTGCCGTTGGTGTAATCTTGTTACTGGTTTTAAAAGATGTGCTCCGGCTTAAAGGCGACGTAGAGTCCGAGCCAATAGTTAAATATGTGCTTCGCTATTGTGATCATTGGTGCGATTGTATGACGATATAGATACGTTACTCTGATCCCTACCATCCACATTCAGTGGACAGGGAATAGTTTCGGGATCCCATGCTGGGAATACTCTGGTAATACCCGTTTAAAAGGCATTTATTTACTAGCTGCTGATTAGAGTCCACTCGACTAGAAGGAAACGCTTCACATGAGGTACATAATACTATAAGTATACTGCAGAGTCATGGTGGTACGTGGTACTGGTAGGTGGTACTGGTAGCTAAGATGAGAAGTATGTATGATACCGGGCGAAAAGTACGTACTTGTACTTTATTTTGAAAAGTACGTATGATACCTCAGTGTACGATTCAAAAAATTTTCAAACTTATTTTCACAGGCGCGATGTAACGTTTTTTAGATCCGACGTTTTATTTATTGGAAACTCCCGACTTCCACGATTGAAATTTCATTGTCATGATGCTTTTGAAAGCCATATTCATGGAGATAATAGAAACACTCAATCGCAGATAACAAAGAAAGTTTAATAAGCTTCATCATTTCATCAAAACAAAAAACAATGAACTTTCTAGCATCATCATTTCAACAGATCAAATTTACTTTCAGCTTTAACGTTTCAGTTTTGCATTAGAGTAGATGTAGATCAATTTGTTGAATCTCTCAGGCTTAGTGCGTAGTCTTCTACTGCAGTAGATATATACTCCATGTCTCTAAAATTTTGTTCACAAACTGAGGAAGAAGTCAGAACACTAAAAACTTTTTTAGCGATCAAATGGAGAACCTCATAACTCTGTGGGCTATAGTATCTCCAATACAACATAGGATTTGGTAGATTCTGCAACGAATCCACTTCGGTGTATAAATTGAGCCCCTCGCTGTCCACATTTAGCCTGTAATGCTGGAGTTCTCTCAGGACGATACCGCTGTCAAACTTCATCAGTCTAGCTGTATCTAGCTGCCGACACGTGCACTACATTATTGTATCTGCGTACTTTTCCGCAGTATTTTAAAAGTACGTACTTGTACGATACTTTGAAAATTACGTATGATACATACTTCTCATCTTAGACTGGTAGGTGGTACTGGTAGTTGGTACTGGTAGGTGGTACTGGTAGGTGGTACTGGTAGGTGGTACTGGTAGGTGGTACTGGTAGGTGGTACTGGTAGTTGGTACTGGTAGGTGGTACTGGTAGGTGGTACTGGTAGGAGGTACTGGTAGTTGGTACTGGTAGGTGGTACTGGTAGGTGGTACTGGTAGTTGGTACTGGTAGGTGGTACTGGTATTGGCTGTCTAGAAACAACTTTGTGAGCAAGTAATGTGGTGGTAATATCACCTGCGAAGGACTTGGGGTTACTTGTTCACTTGTCCAGGCAATTCCCAGGGTGATAAATGTAGAATATCATGTACTATTCCCCGTCTGGAAGACTTAATGTGAAAGCATGACGCTATTCCGATGATGCCTGTGCAGTGTCATAATACACATGCAGTGTACACCAATGAATTTGCTATTGCTTTAAGTCTAAAATGCATAAATAATAAATTCCCCGACTAAACGTAAAATTTAGAAACAAAGTGAATATTGAATAACTTAATATCTCCAGGAGGTATTGAAAAAATCGACCAACTCCCCCCAGCTAACTAAAACTCCTTAAGAAAAATTCAGTCAACAAATATCTAAGAATGCACGTATAAACATTGGCAAATCACGACTCTCAAGGAAGTAAAACATATTGTTCATGTTGGATAAAAGCTGGAAAGAATGGTTAGAAAAGTCCCTGAAGTTTATCAAGTTTATGAAAGTGTAAGCTCAGATATCTTCGTAGTGTCGTGAGGAACCTGAAACATGCATAGCCATAAATCATAATTACCTCAGGTACCCCGTGTATGTTTATAATACACGTTGTATTTAATTAACCTTAAAAGTGATTATAAAACTGCGAATATCCCGGGAAACATTAGAAAAGTTGGCTAGCAAACGTCTTACTACAGAAAACGACAAGTCTAGTCGACGAAATTATATAAAAGTACAGAAAAGCGAACAAGAAACTATTACTGAGAAGCTGAATCACATCATGGTGTCAAATCACTATCAGGATAGTGTCAACACAAAGTCAAAATTAAGCATGAGTATGACTATCGACTAAGACGAGCAAATTGCACAAATTAATGATTAAAATGACATGTGATGAGTCATGATGACGTACTAATACTATACAGTATACACACTGACTATACAGCGCTCTGGACGGTGCACAGGGCACATAACAGGACATATAATAACAGTGATAACATGATTATACCGTTTGAATGTGTGAATTGTATTTGTTAGCTCTAGGCCAGGAAGTAACTGGCATGTGGTTGTAGGTTTAACCTACCAAGACGCGCGCCGAGTTGGACTCGTCGAGTCGACAGTATTACTCTTATAGTCTTAATATTTGGAACAAACGTATTACGTGTATCACCTGTTAAGCATGTAGCACAGTGACTGTGAACACACAGAAAGCGACAGGAACAAAAAACAGTTTTGTTTTCAAATGAAGGTTCATTCTCGCATTTATTTGATAGTTGTTGTTGGATAATCGGATCGAGCCAAATTTTATTGAATTCTGTTTGGCAATCTAGATTACGTCTGCCCTGAAAAAATGAGAGTTGTAGCCTTCTCAGATGACTGAGATAGGGATCATAACGAGTTTATTCATTACATATGATCAGGTGATTGGCTTACCTGATCACGTGATTAGATCTGCACTATGGGAATCGTGCAGAAACTCAGAAAGCCCAATTTCGGTGTCGTAGCACACTATCACATAATTACCCAATCAATTTTCCTAACGATGTAAACAAATTGTTTGATAAATTCGTCATTTCAAATCTAATAATTACAGCTGAGTATGCTAAATGATAAATCTTAATCACAATTCACAAGGATGATGGAAGTAAAATATGGGATATTTTTCATGTTGGATAAAAGCTGTAAAGAATGGTAAAAAAAGTCCCTGAAGTTTAAACGATAGCCTTTATCCAAACAATGTGTTTTGTTGTTGGAATAGTGTAACTGTAAGCTCAGATATATTCGTAGTGTCGTGAGGAACTTGAAACATGCATAGCCACGCGACAAATCATATATAGTACCCCGTGTAATTGTATGTTTATAATAATACACGTTGTATTTAATTATTCAACTAGTAACCTTAAAATTGATTTTAAAATTGCGAATATCCCGGAAAACATCAAAAAAGTTGGCTCGCAAACGTCTTACTTAAGGAAACCGACAAGTCGAAGAAATTATACAAGAGTACAGAATAGTTTGAACAAGATCACCGCCCAGTAAGTAGGAAGTAAAGTGTCTAAACACACGAACTAGTGTATAAGTTGCTACACGTTGTGCTCCTCTCTCTTGCACTCCGGCCGGCCGGAGAGAGGCCTTTTGCGGCTGGCCGCCGCGCACGTGAAAAAGGGTTGCAACGTGTGTCAATATATAAATATCAAATGCCGGGCTATTGTTCACCGTAGCGCGGGTCTTTTGGGAAATTGAGAGCGGGTTTATCAGTATCATGAAATTCAGAAAATTGATTACATTTACTGGGTGGGCCGGCGGCGCTCAGCCTGTCATTCCGCCTGATTATAGACATAAATATAATAGCCTGGGGTCCTCAGCCTGTCATTCCGCAGCTGATTATGACATATGAACATAAATATAATAGCATGAGCAGCTGGGGTCCCCAGGTAAGGAAATTGAGAGCAGGTCTATCAAATTCAGGGAAATTGAGAGCAGGTCTATCATTATTTGTTGACATCTCATCTCCATACTAATAGTACGATAGACTACTTATACGAGCTAGGAAGGATTGGCACACGAACCGCAGCGAGTGTTTAAAGTTTACACCTAAGAGTAAAAGTAAATAGAATTAAACGATTTGTAGGAAGTTACCTGGGGACCCCAGGCTATAATGTTCATTGTCATACGTTGTATGACCCGCCGCGCACGAAGTGCGCGGCTCCCCCTGTAGCGTCGAAAACGCTACAGTGAAGCGACCGTGGGGGTCACCACGTGATACAAAATGTTCATAAACATAGATACGGTGGAATGAATAGAGATTGAATTTTCATCAAGATTGGACAAAAAATAACTGAGTTATGAGCTAAAAACCATATGCCAATATTTGGGCATACGCACCAAATTTGATCGATTTTGGCCCATAACATAAATTGGTCAAATATCAATATTTTTTAATGAAACTAACTTTATATAAAAGGTAAGCCTAAACTACACATTCTTTATGACTATCAGCTCAATATCTTCCTTACTGTGGATTCTGTGTTCAAAATTTGACAGAGTGAATATCGGCCGATGGTGCGGAAAAGTGCGGTATTACTATTATTAGGTCAATAGAGCGATTCCGCATCCACCGTACTTGCCTCTGATATATTCAACATTTTCACAAATTTTTGAAATTCTATACTATGGAGAGCAAACTTTAACATTTAAAGATATTGATAATTTGTCGCATTTCGCTTTAACGGGTGATCTGATAGTGATACTCGTAAAATATTTGTTCCAAACGAGTCCAACTCGGCGCGCGTCCTGGTAGGTTATACATTATAAACCTACAAATTTCGTTTTGCAATTCATTTTGCCCCTAAATCAAATTCCCAATGCAATTCCACCTAAGCTAAATCAAAATGCAAGAAACTCACGAAATTTAGTTATATCTGATAGTACCGTGATTAATAAAGAGTATCGTAAAAGCCAAAAGGAGTAAAAGAGACATTCCTTTTAGTCTCTTCGCGACCGATCTGTTTCCGATTGTGCGAGTGTTAGTACTGGTAGGTGGTACCAGTAGTCTGGGTCCTGAGCTAGCACAGTTACTAACAGTAACACTTAACACTGTTAACAGTTGCAGAATCCTTTTTAAAATTTGGGCGAGCTCGAGGTAGTGAGGGTATAATTATGAGGGACGTGACTAAGATCACAGCAAGCTTAGTGACGAAACCGTATCAGTGCACTTTGGGGCAAAATTTTACCTTCAATTTTAAAAACTTTGGTAAGACGGTACCTGTGCGGGTAACAATTATAGAACTTTCTCGGTAAGCAGAATTTGAATTTTGAATCCATAAGTTTGATTATTCTAACTAAACTTTCATTTTTTGCTTTGGGTACGGTGCAAAAGCCGAGAGGTTGTAATTGCCCAGTTTGCCGTTTAGTTGTACTTGTTGTGACATTGGTATTACCGAAATGTAAAATATGTTTTGGAGTTGCGGTCTTTAATAATAATTTCGATCGAAAATAATATTGGCCGAAGTTGGTGACAGTAACGGCAACGCCAACGGCCCATTATTGATACCGATTTTGGCTTGAATTGAGTTTATCTAGCCCTAGCTAGAATTTCCTTCTTTGAGAAATCTGTAAAATTTCGATTTTACACAATCAGCTAATTAATGATTAAAACTGGAACAATTATGAATTAAATTCAGTGGATGGCGATGATCAAACATATTGATATAGTCTGTGCATTAAAATTTATTTCACAAACTAAGGTGTTTTAAGTCCAAAGTTCCGATCGGAAATTATCGCAGAAAACAGTCATATTTTGGGCGAGTCAGTTTTTAAATGCGGGCTTATGTTTTTCTGGGCGGCTTTTGCTTTCGACTCTAAATGTTTCCCCTGAAGAGAAAAATGGAAAAGCTAGGGTCGATAATGGTGTTAATTAGTGTTATATTTAAAGCAATTATATTTAATGGACCGCAGTTAACAAGTCCATAAAGTGGAAGAGTTGAGAGGAATATACGCATAGTTACGACCAAATTTAGAAGTAGAATTGATAACATGACTCGTAACTATCAACAAGGTGCCAATTATTGATTTGACAGTTTTCTCAGCATCACCGACGGGCCCGGCTTTTGGTTCATTACTGGTTTGCGTTTTGTCGGCGGTAGTGAGTTGGACTCATTTACAAGGTGCCTGGGCGGCAAATATGGTACCGCGAAAATTGACCCCCTATGTAATTACACGGGGGTCAATTGTCGCGAAATCTAGGGTTTAGTACGACAATCGACCCCCTATGTAATTACACTGGGGTCAATTGTCGCGAAATCTAGGACTTAGTACGACAATTGACCCCCATGTAATTACACTGGGGTCAATTAATCGGGTTAGGGTCAGGGTCAGGGTCAGAGTCAGAGTCCTGGGTCAGGGTTAGGGTTAGGGTCCTGGGTCAGGGTCAGGGTCCTGGGTCAGGGTCAGGGTCAGGGTCAGGGTCAGGGTCAGGGTCAGGGTCCTGGGTCAGGGTCCTGGGTCAGGGTCAGGGTCCTGGGTTCTGGGTCAGGGTCAGGGTCAGGGTCAGGGTCAGGGTCAGGGTCAGGGTCAGGGTCAGGGTCCTAGGGTCAGGGTCAGGGTCAGGGTCAGGGTCAGGGCCAGGGTCAGGGCCAGGGTCAGGGTCAGGGTCAGGGTCAGGGTCAGGGTCAGGGTTAATTGTATTACATTATATTGTCGAGGGGTCAATTGTCGCCCAGCCGGCAAATATATGTCTGTCTTTTAAGGCACGGTTTGATTAAGTTTTTATTCGTCTTTATTATCAAATTGGATCAAAGTGCTCAATTTGATCGTACCTTTTGTCTACTTATTCGTCATATTTAATATGTTGGCGAGTCCGAACAGAGCAGACGCTCAAAGTAAAAACACTGTTATCATAAATCTGAAATAAATCAAATAAAATAAACATGGGTTATCATTTAAAAATAGGGTCCAGAAATAAAGTTTTGAGCAGAAAAGAACAGTGGCCTGTGGAGCCAAACAAAATTGAGTATGAGATTCATACAACGTATCTTAAACGTATGTTAAAGTTCAAGAACAGTACAGGAAACTGAGTCGATTACATATCTTAATTTTTAATAATTTCTAGGTAACATTTTACACTCCCAAATATCCTTAATCAAATTTTAGTCAAGTCTTATCGGTATTGAAGAATGTCGATCTGCAGAATGTTTCAAAGATAAAGAAAATTAAATTAGGTATATCCGTCCCTGATCCTGAGTTCAGTTACTTCAAATCTAGAATATAGAGTGTTACTAGTATCAGGACGGTTCATATAATTGAGTTAATATAATTAGCCAATCAGGAACTTGCTTTGACTAATTATCAATTTTTAGTAGGCATATGGGTTGACCATTCAGCCAAATCACAAATGTCATGTAAATTTTCCTTGCAAATCATTGAAATAGTGTCGTTTTTAAGAATAAATTGTATACTATGAATATTATATGCTTGATTACGACCTTGCAAGACGGAATATCCAATTTGTTAATGACAGATTAACCACCGCTTGAATATAAAATCCGGTTTCAACTAGCAAAAGTCCATCTATTTGCTCGAGCTGCTCTCTTAGAAATATGGCGTCATATCTTTTACTTGGAATACAGTTAACTTTCACAGTAACACCAGGAGTACTTGTTACAAAAAGTAATAATAAAAGTGCAGTATAGTAAGGCTAACAAATATAACATTAAGTATTCGTGTGAGCTTGGCGCTGCAGTCCATGATAGTCTTCAGTTTAGTTCATGTTAGCGAGTCTTCTCATTCTCCTTGCGTTCCTGTCCTGATCTCGGATCTTCTTTTCCATTTCCTGGTCAGTAAGATTCTCTATGTTTGGGGCCCACTTGTCAAGGTTACCTGCGAGGTATAACTGTGTTAACTTGTTAAGAGTCACTACTTACCATTTTATGGTGGGTATTGAATAGGATAAACAGTAATTACTGCCGTTATAATGATGAGAGATTATAGATTATGGAGAACTCTATGTCTAATATAACTATAAGCCCCATTTCCACACCCGACGAAGCAGAGGGATATAATAACAGCGTACCTGTACGAAGTGGGGTTTCAATAGCTTTGAGTGGAGCTTCCGTGAACGTCATAGTCTTTATGTGCCACCCAAGCTGTCCTCGAATACTGAAATATAGGGGTTCGACAATCACATCACGTGCTATTAACTATTATTTATTAAGTTAACTAGTCGTTATCTTATAACAATATAGGGGCACAATATCCGGAATATTACCATCGGAACACTATTTAAGCATCAAGGAAACCTTTAAGTTAATGAACAGCGCTGACGGCGGCGGTCAAAGGTTGTTCGTGCAGCACCACCTGCTGACACATTGTGACGTTTTATCATTTTATGGGTCATTTAGGGATGCTTACAACCCCAGATCATTGAGTAGCATTACTTATTAAAGTAGCGGCGTATAGTTAAGGGGGGGGGGGGGGGGGGGGGGGGGGGGGGGGGTCATACACTTAGTACCTGATCCCCCCGTATAGTCAATACTTAAAGCAATAAATAAGGCGGCATCCAGTCTCTTAACAGGCTAACTGGGCCCCGAGATCTGCTATTATGTTTTTGCTCCAGTTACTAAATAACTCTGCAACACCAGAAGTAGTAAGTTAACAAACTGGCTTCCCTTCCAGACAAACCCAAGTTCTGTTCAACCCGGTACTGTCATTTCAGGGTCCTCGTCTTTCGTTTAAATTCTGTAAATCGTTGCTATCTACTTATCTAATAGTCAGGTGGTAGAACCAAAACATTCCCTTTTGACTCTCCCCGAGCCGACCAGAACTCATTTGCATTTACTCAAATTAATGTTATCAAAGCTTGGAACAAGAATGAAAACCAGACAAATATTCAGCGCGTTTGAGGGCAAGTCATCGTTAAATAATATTTAGCAGAGGACTAGTGGCGCATCTGAAAGCTGAATTGACATATCTAATTGCTATCTGCTGTTGGCACCCCTCTAATTGAACTGTTCGCACTATTTTGGAACACGAATGCGGGAGAATAATAGCTCACGTTCCAACGGAAGTGTTAACATTCTTCAGTCAAACTTTCTTTGTTTTGTTAACATTCTTCAGTCAAACTTTCGTATTAGTTTTGCTTTTTAGGCCTGTTGGGAGGGAGAGTGGGCAACGATGGCCATGTATTTTTACTCTTTACGGAGCATCTTCTTTGGTTAAACTGGTCATATTAAAATATGATGACCGGTAGATTTACTACCGATTATAGTATTTTTTAAAGAAGGAAACATTTTGAATTCTACGGCTTTTCGCGTCAAGAATAGGATAAATTCTAAGGTCTCAACATGAATACAAAGGCCTTCTTAGCAGTTGCATGTTATATAGCCCGATATAGCTGTTAATAAAAATATTGTTATATTTTCATTTATATAGCAACCTTTTGAACACCTCGTTTATTGTGGGGATCAAAGTCACCGTAATTAAACTTACAGAATGAGAACTATTTAATACACAGTATAAGCAGAGGGGCAATGTGCTAAAGTCGCATGTTTTCAACTAAATCTGACATGACCGTAATTTTGGTTTTCTTCAAGTTCTGCGCCCCGTACAAAATCAATGATAAAAGTCAGTTTCAATTCTGCACGAAGTTTATATACACATATACAGAAAAATCATCTTTGGTCACCATGGTGACCCTGGACAGGATGACTGTTCAGTTACGTTTAATACAATTGGTTTGAAAACGCTGAACGATCAGAAAAATATCAACGGTCATTTGAGTACACATTACAGTTCGTAGGAGGAGCTTCAGAAGAATAAGACCCCTAGAGCCCCTAGTAAGTAACTCTCCAAACTCGCCTGTAAGAGATCGCAGATATGAACTCGCCCCCTAGTCCCAGCTCCTGACAAAGATTCCTCGCGAACTCCTCCGGACTGTTCTGTGGACAGCTGATGTCCCACTCGAACTGGTCCACCAGTGACGTGTTGCCCACGTGCACGTTCAGCTGAAATAACAGGTGGTTATGAACTGGGGAAAACTAATTTACTTTTTACTGTCCGTGGTTTAGAACTTTCATTTAATGAGTTTTCGATTACTCAATTTAACTTCTCGTTAGTGGTGAGCCAGCGCAGACATAACTTCTAAACAAATTCAATTCTGGTGCGAAGCTTGGTGTTTAAATGTTAGCTTCTTTGAACGGTGTGGCTTGTTGTAACCATGAAATTGTTGCACAGGACAATGTTAATATAGCTAATAACTATAATTATATCCAAATAATGCCAGTGGCTGCTAAGTGGAGGGAATTTTAGCTGAAAATTATGTATAATATACCTTAAATTTATTTTATTTTGAATATATTTTATTTTAAATATATTTCAAATTTAATATTTATAAAAGAAAGAAAGGAAAAAGATGAAAGAGAATAGCTCCAAACTCTTTAGAAGAAACCCTTATGAGTATGGTAAGAAACTGCTCACGAAGGAAGAGACTAAAGATAAAGAGCCTGAGTTCGACAGTGAAGAAGCATCTAAGTTCTTTGAAAAGGAGTACAAAGATGATGACCGAGAGCGTGACTATGTTAACCCCACAGGACTGAAAGACCTTGACAAACCTAATTGGATATGCAGTACAGCGCCACCCACATGGGATGAATTCCACCTAAAGCTAAAGTCAAGGAGAAATAAGTCAGCACCTGGGTCAAATGGTGTCAACTACCTGATCTACAAGAAGTGTCGAACTTTCAGTCACCATCTACACCATCTGATATGCAGGATTTGGAAAACAGGAGTTGTCCCCCCACAGTGGAAGGTGGGAGTGAGTACATTAATTCCTAAAACGGATGATCTAAAAGATCCTGGCAAGTTCCGTAACATCACACTCCAAAACTGTAGTGGGAAGCTGTTCTTTGCCATCTCGGGAGACCGTGTACTTGAGCACATGACACGAAATCTGTTCATTGACACCTCAGTACAGAAAGGTTTCATGAAGAAAACCCCTGGTTGCCTAGAACACACTCAAGCCCTCCTTGAAGAGATTAAAGATGCTAAAAGCCACAGAAGACAAGTCCACGTGATCTGGATTGACCTTATGAATGCGTATGGGAGAGTCCCGCACAGCCTTATTATTTATGCCCTACGCCGGTACCACCTACCTGAAAGCTTCATTAAGCTTATAATAGAGTATTATGGAAGCCTCAGTGTCCTAGTTAAGTGCAGGAAATGGACATCCAGAACATTCTGGTATGAGCTAGGCCTGTTCCAGGGAGACCCACTGTCCGTGATCCTGTTCCTTATAGTATTCAACATCCTACTGGAACTTCTAGCTGTACTGTGCAGTCAAGTTGGGTATGAGCCAAGCTTCAGTGATAGCAAGACCTCAAAGAAAGCATTTGCTGATGACCTAACCCTGTTGTCGAAGAGCGAGAAGGAGATGAAGAAGATGTTGAAGGTAGTAGAAGAGTTCCTGGACTGGTCGAAGAAAATGAAGGCTAAACCATCGAAGTGCCTGTCTATGTCTATGAAGTGTACTGGAGGAAAGTACAATACCTATGATTCAGAGTTTGTACTAAGCGAACAACAGGTGCCGTCCATTATCCAAGCACCAATGAAGTTCCTAGGAATGTACATGTATGTAGATCTTGAGGTAAAGGAAATTCGGTCCATGATCAAGAAGAAGTTAGAGGACCTTTTGGAAACAACGTCTAATGATGAAATCACCGGTCCAATGAAGGCGTGGGTGTATAACCACCTCATCATTAGTAAGATGTCATGGGGGTTTACTGTTTATAACCTACCCATCACATTTGTGAGAGAGCTTGAGGCACTGTGTAACAGATACCTTAAGAAGTGGCTAGGGATTGCGCATCCTTGTACCACCACCGTCCTCTACAGGAGTAGAGACCAGAAAGGATTGCAGCTGAAAAACATCTGCACTGAGTACAAAGTCATCCAACTTATTAAGGGACACCAACTTTGTAACTCAAGTGACCCCTACATCAAAAAAGTGTACTCTAACCATAAGGCAATTGCAGACACACAGAAGATGTGGTCTTATCCCAAAGAGCTGAAAGACCGTCAGCGCCAACTTTACTTCCAAGAGTTAGTTGGAAAACCTGCAGTTGGTACAACTGGCCTCGGGTATGGGACAAGATATGAGGACACATCAGAGAGGAAACTGCTAACCAACATGGTGAGGACCTTTGATGAAGAGACACTTATTTGTTCACTTTTTGACAAAAAGCGGCAAAACCTCTTTCTCACATGGGAAAATACAATGACATTTGACACCACGTGGAATAACTTGATCTATCAACTTAGTCCGGAACTGTTAAAGTTTCATGTCAATGCTATTCATGACACTGCGTCAACACCTAGCAACCTAAAGCTTTGGAATAAAGCCGTTTCAGGAAACTGTAAACTCTGCAGCAAACAAGGGACACTCAATCATATCCTGACGTTCTGTAAGGTTGCACTAAGACAGGGACGTTTCAACTGGCGCCATGATCAGGTCCTACGTGAAATCATGAAGACCGTTTCATCACAGATTGAAGAGTTTAATTCCGACATCGCCAAGGAATCGAAGAGGGCACCGTCGGTCTTTCACAAGGCAGGCAATAAGCGCGAGAAGGTTACCTTAGCTGACCCAACTCATCATAAGACCCAAAGATATTTCTTTTCAGATGCCAACGACTGGAAGATAATATTTGATGAGGATGAGAGACAGAGGAACTTCCCGCAGCACATTGCAGCTACACTAAGACCTGATGTAGTGATCTATTCAGATAAAGCAAAGAAGGTTTATCTAATGGAGCTGACTTGTGGAAATGAGCAGAACTTTGCTGATCAAGAGAAGCGAAAGATGAAGAGATATCAGCAGCTGACAGAAGAGATAGAAGCCAACGGATGGGCTTGCAAGCTCCAGACAGTAGAAGTGGGAGCTCGAGGCATTTACAACTATAGCCTCCCAACCTTTATGAACCACCTGAACGTAAACAACAAAGAGAAGAAGAAGGCCTGCATGAAGATCGCTGAGATCAGCCTGAGGGCATCGTATACCATCTATTTGTCCAGAAACAATACCATATGGACAGATGATTGGGAGTTAGTCAAGAGACCAGTAATAGCATAGTAGGAGCGTAGAATGTTTGGGCCCAGAAAAACATGTTTAATACCGCTATGAACCCGTCATAAGCCGGGGACTACTATGAAAGTGATGATGCTGTGTTGTTGAAAGACCTTCGACCAATCAAAGATGTACCTCATCACGCCAAGCAGTTATGCTTGTAGGTGAATATACACTTATAGAGTACAACAACTTTATAACACTCCGATGCAGATGACATGCTTTTATTGTTGTTCTTTGTAATGAAGTTTGTGGGGTTTACATTTGGATGATTATTCTGACTCCGTTAAAGTTAATCCATATAATACGGCTTATATTATTAAATACGAGGATTATATCAGCGGTAACCTATATGCAGATGATAGAGACCTGGACCTAATAAATATTGATGAACAAATGCCATTAAGATAATAACAATTGGTCTAGTCGACTTATCTTCATTAGTGGAGCTTAATTTTAATTACATCAATGGTGATCAAGAAGACATGGAAAAGACTTATGTAAAGGCGACCCGCTTGTGATTCGACTAGTTTCGGCTTATCAGAAATCATAATTTATTAACATTATTTTAATTTGCTAGGTGATATTCCCTAATAGAGTCACAAGCGGGTCGCCTCGAGATACGTCGTCTTCGTGATCACCACCAATCTTAAGATTCTACACTGGATAACCTTGAGGCGACTGTGGCTTAACACCTTTATTACTGACTATGAATGATTTACACTGCACAGATAACGGCTCAGCCCTTTGGTAGTTAGTTCTGTAAAAGCTGTCTTTACTCGTTAGGCATCTGGTTTGTGCATCTAACATTACATTCGGTCTACTCAGTGTCTGGATTTATCAGAACCAAAAGTAGCAGACATATTCCACATATTTCACATATTTCTGAGTTTTTTTGTGCATTATCATGAACATGTCTTTACAAATCGCTGGTAAAGTTGAGTTCGTATAGGTTTTTAAATGTAGGCTCAAATTGCTGTAATTTGTAACAAACGAGCTCAAAGTTCCAACTGTTTTAAAGCCCACCAATAACTAGGAGTTTATCTAATTCATTAACTGGAATCGTTCACAGTTGTTGGGAGAAATGTGATCAAAGCTTCTTCATATGGGGAGTAATTATCGTTCATAATTTGTCAGGTAGCACATGTAATTTTGAAATACAACAGTATATTTTGATACAAATATCTAGGAGAATGGTTACATATCGTTACAGTTCAATCGCCCTTTTCTATAATATTGTCACAATACATATTATATTCGTTGTAAAGTCGGGGAAAAAATAATATTTACTTTGCGAAACGTGAACATCATATTTTAATCATAAGCTAATTGAAGCAATTTACCCAATTTGCGCAGACGAAATTAAAATTTCTCTGAGAATACCAGATACCACTAACACTTCTAATTCTATAAAGCATGAAACGTGTTATAACATTAGTAGGGAGGCTTCTCTTTATTATCTGTAGCTTTAGGTATATTTTTTTGCTCTTGTGACTAGTGCGTCGATCATATTCGATTATGTGGGACAAGATACACCAATACAAGATACACTGAGTGAAGGCTCTCATTTTTCCCCAAATAATCGAATATCGCTGTACCACATATACTTCCAATTATTCATTTATCACATTAAAGAAAAATGAACTGAGTGTTTGGATGTATCACGCAAACCTATGATATTCCCCAATCTCATCACTCATGTTGCGGGTTGCCTTTTAACTCAGCCTCCTATTATATTTATATAATACAGGGTGGGCCAAAAGTCAGTACCCATACGTTGGCCTTAATAGCTCCGCCGTGTTTTATATTTGAGAGCTGTTGCTTTGCAGATGGCATACTGTACTTACTGGTTCGAGGATTCCGTCGTCAACATTTGAAAATTCG